CCTAAAAAACGCTCCAATTTGTCACTCTCGCTTAGGCCTGAGCCCGAGCGGGAAAGATGCAAAAAGTTTTGTCATACTCTCACTAAAAGGAACTCGCCTCTGTTTTCTGAGGCCACAGAAAATTCCCATGACTCTTCAAAGCCTGAAGAAAGGCAAAACAGTTGGTTCAGGACACAGCCCTTTTATATTCTAAGTTTCCCAATATTTAATATTTTTTGAAAATATCTATTGAGAAGTATAATCCTTTATTAGTCCAGTAAAAACATATATGTATAGAATTCTAGTTTCAAGAGGGCTAAAAGCTATCCGGAAATTCCATTTCCTAGGGTATCTGCCCCTCGTTAGGCCATACGACTGCACTGTTATCCCCAAAGAAGACCGAAAGAGAAGCCGAGCAGATCGCACAATTGTTATTAATATCTTTTTGAGCAAAAGCCGCCGTCGCCACAGACGGAGATACGAAAACTGAAGCACGCGCTCTTAACAAATTGTGCTACGAATTTATGCGATTCGCTGGATCACCGTGGAGAGAGAAATGTGCGCCCGATGACATCACGAGCAAAGTATGTGGCCCCCAAAAAAGGCGCGGCCACGGCTCTGCCTCGGTGGAGGGCATGGCGCAGATCTCAGATGGAGATCTGCAGTCGGATGGAGGTCAAACGGATTCTGTCTCTGACAGATACTTCAGGCAACTCTTGCGCGTTTGACATTCCTTCATCAGCGAAACAGTCGCCAAAAAGGATTCGCTGTCCCCTGACAGGATGCAAACTAGTTTCCCTTTAAGCAGAACAAATTACGAAAGCGATCTGCTCCGGGAGCTATGCAAATTTACCTTGGTGTGAGATTTACGGGCTCTGGGAATCAAGGGAATGGTTCGACGACGTCTGCCCATGCATAAAACTGAAGCAAATGACAGAGCGATCGTGTCCTTGGCAGGATGCTTTGTCCTGTGTCCCTCGCGTCGACACCTTTATGAAGTGTCGAAGAATCGGGACCAGAGTCAAGGGCCCTAAGCGAGTTCATTAATTTGACATGATCCGTGCTCTTGAAACCGAGCCGGGCCGAGCCGAATATGGGACACTCACTGGGATGGATGTGTATTCGCATTCAGTGCTCAATGTTTATACACATAATTGTTGCATAATAACCTCATTAATCAACGGTGCTTGAACGCCAGAGTCCTTTCTGCCTGTCTGGCGTAGGGTTTGGTATGGCAGGGGATGTTAAGTGTCTGACTTTGCTAATGGTTCAAGATGATGTTTTGATGCATTGCGCTTAAGCTCCCCTGCTCGTCTGTTTTTTATAGATACAAATCGGAACCATCTGCCATGATTTGTAATCATTTGTATGTTTGTGTCAAAAAGTTAGAGAGGATCCAATGGAATTCCTATACCCGAGATTGTTACTATGTAATGTTCAGCCAAAGCATTCAGCTTTCATATTATTACCTTCGTTCCTATTACTAATGAACGGCCTAAAATATCTATATACATATTTGTTTAGAGGTGGTCGATCTTCTTCATTTCCAAGTATTACTTTACGTGTATTGTTGCTGCTCTTTCGACTGTCTCCCGTAACACTGACAGAAACAACTGGGGATGGGATGGGCATGGGTTGGGGATGGGGTAAGAAGAGTAGAAAAATAAGAAGAAGCTGTAGAACAGTCAGTAAAAATATGTCCATGTTCCGTATTCCTCGCTCCATCTCCCTCGCTCTCTCGTTGTCTGCCTCTCCCGCTCCCGCTCACAGACAGCTATCTCTATCTGGCTCTCTATGCAATGCAATTCTAAAAATTGAATTATTCATGGCGATTGTACGACAATCAATTGAAATTGAAATAAAATGCTGCCTGCCAAGTTGTTGCCGATGTTGCTGCTGTTGTTGCAACTGTTGCAAATGTTGTTGTTGCCGCTGCTTCTGATTTTGCTGCCGCCTTTGACATGTGCGCAGAGCGATTTTTCAGATACTTTTTTGTTTTGGCCTGGCCTGGCTTGGCTTGCGCTCGTTCGCTCGTCGCTTGTTCGTTCAATTGAAATTGTGATTTAAAGTATCTGTATCTGGATCGATTTGGCATCGATCGAATGTCGCCAAATGTCTCCCATCGAAGCTCACGATGGCATGCTGGCCCCCAGACAGCAGGAGATTTGTCGCCTATTTTGCTTGTGGTTTGCTTTGGTTTTGGTTTGATTTCTTCTGATTCTCGTTTTTTGGCCAGCGGCAATTTGTATTTGGCCATGTTAGTGCATAGATCAGACTTGTTCAAGTGTTTGGCAATCGTTTGGCTTGCAATTCTGGGACCTGTTCAACATTTTCCTAGAATAGTTTAGCTGCGGAAAGGTCCCCAAACGGCCAGATAGCTATGAGAATTTATTCTGCAACCCGTGTGATTGCGTTGCGTATCCCTTTAACACCAATTGACACGAGCGTAAGCTTCAAACTAATGAAATCGTAATCGTAATCAATGATAATCAATTCTGGCTAAACAAATAAACACTAATTTGATTTTGATGCTCCCACCGGTTCCAGTGTTCCAATTCGATAAGCGGTAAACACCATTTTCCTCTCAGTTGGAGCAGTGAGCTCCCTGTGGAATTTTTCCCTCTTACTACTGCTCATGGCAATCGGATTAAAATTGCCCCTCACTCTGTCCTTGCAGCATAATTTGAGGCAGATTGCGCTCTAATAAATATGAGCAGCCATCAAAGCTAATGCGCCAACTCGTCACCGGGAGATGAGCACGCGAGTAGGCGAGATATGCGCGCCGCTACCAAGGCCCAAACTTAATTAAAATTTCGTCAGATAGAGCGATGGAGAGAGAGAGAGAGTGAGTGAGGCAAGGAGAAGAGGGGAGATTTGCCCACGAGCAGAAGAAATTTTAATATGACTGCGCAGCATCCGTAGCAGCAGCAGCAGCAGCCGCAACGCTAACTAAGATTATGACGACAATGATGCTGACAGGCAAAGCTCTGGCTCTGGAAACTACTGCTAAGAAACTAACCAGATTCCACATGCAGTCGGGAGCCGGGAGCCGGGAGTCGGGAGTCTCCGTTCCAGTTCATGGCTAAATGCTGCTCGTGCTGTGATAAATTACACGTCATTTTAGAGTGTTGCGCTTCCTTGTTACTCCGTCAAGTGGTGTTGACACGGCCGCAGCGAATGCAGGGTATTAAATGATCTCCACTGATGCTCCAAACTCGGCTCGACTCGACTCGACTCTCCTCTTGCTCTGGCTCTGGCTGCTTCTTCAAGTGCTGTTATTAAAATGAAATCATCATCATCACGAAGTGACAGAAACCGCGAGAGGGACACACTGGAGAGATGCCTCAGGATCACTTGAGCGAGCATCTACTCGTAAGCACGGATCTGGCTTATGACAAGAGAATTCAATTAGACATATGAAAACGCGCTGATTGTTCTGCGGGAATGGGAATTGTTTGGAACTGTCGCTTTTGGTAATTCACTTTAAACTAGGATTGCTTAACTTTATTCTAGGGGATTCTATGGTAAATCTATTTTAATCTGGAGAATTTGTTTGATTAGGTTTTGGGGCTGTCTAAAGTTAATCAACATAATTATTTTCGAAACTAAATGAGAACTATTTTAAAAATATATAAAATGTAATTATAAATTATTTACTATTAACTATAATCTCAAGTCGTCTGCTTCATCTGCTTAAAATTACAAAAATTGAATAGCAAACATTTAAAAATCCTACAAATACCAAAGACTTAGGCAAGAAACTTGTTTTCACCATTTTGTTGCACGAGCTCGATGTTTTTTCCTTTTGTTGGTTGTTTACATACTCTCTGTGTTTATTTGCACTGAACGACGGGCATTACGATACTCTGTGCCCACCTCTTTGCCACATTAGTCGTCCAATACAAATACAAATAAATGCACATTTACGATAAATAATAAATATGAAAAAAAAACCAAACCAAACCGAACTTAACACTCTCGCACTCACACAAGCACAATAAATAATAACAGTACTGTGTGTAGCCAACAGCCAACGAATCAAGACATGTTCAATGAAAACGAACGAAACGAACACACATACATACATATACACATCCATATCGGGCTGGCGGCAACAGCCAACCACAGTTGAGCACGCACCACCGAACAGAGAGAGACTTGGACAAGAGAATACACTGTGCGAAATTGGTACTAAGATGTGCCACGTTCTGCAATAAAGATGAAGGAGTCAGATATACAACCTCTTACAATTTTAACCTACTGGTTTCCCCTCAGTTTTGGTGCCCAATCTATCAACTTCGAACGCTCCCTCGATGTACATATACATATTATGTCCGTAAGTTAGTTAAGTTAATGCCTTTCGACCAAATTTATGTGTGCAGAAATAATTCCTTTCAGGCCGTTGTGATATTTTCATAAAAACTCCGCGTAATTCGAATTTAAATTTAATTTTCAAGATGTTTATTTCCGAATTTCAGAGCTGAAATGGACATACACTTAATGATATTTTTAGCAGGTTTACTGTTAATTTTTTGTTATCCGAATATTGATAATATTTTGAACATTTTTGCTTAGTCTATGAGCACACGAGAGTGCGAGTGCTCTTCTCTCTTGGTGTGCCAGAAGAGAGCACAGCAGAGCAAAGCAGAGCCGAGCCGAGGAGCAGAAGAGCAGCTGTTCGAAAAACAGGAACTGACTGTTGGGTTGTGATGATCTTTGAGGCCAGGGCCAGACCAGACCGGGCCCAGTCTCAGTCTCAGAACGACGATGACGATTCAGTCTCGGATTGGACGCTGCCAAGCATCGTCGATCGCGAAGTTCCTCGGCGTTATGTGCGCCACGTGAGTGTTGCGAGTGAGTCTCTCGAGTGCCGTCGCTATATCATCACCGTTTAGGCGGATCAATGATGTCACTGAAGATAATGTGCTATGAAGCGTGCTATGGTCAGATATGATCCATTGATAATGCAGAGATCATCCAGTTTGTGCAGAAGTCTGATCAGTCAAAGTGTTCTGTGAAATTAAAAACATATACGACTAAATAAATACATACAGTGTACCTTTTGGGATCTACAATTTATGCAGTTAGGGAAATATCCAATTGCAAAAAGGTAAATATGCACTTATGTAAGGAAAATAAAATTAAATTTAAAAAATATCTCTTGAAGAAAGACAATGCTTTAATGAATTTAATAATGAAAAAATACTATGAACATTTAATAAAACGTCGAATGGAAAAAAAAATCATGAATTAAATGCATTTTGCATAATTATAATAAATTAAAGGCTATCTGTCAGCCATGCAAATAGTCAGATAAGATTGCCAATGAATCTTAAAAAATAAAAAGAATACGAGTATGAGATAAAATATTTCTCAATATTTCACAACTTGATTGAAATGTTATATTTTTAAATTCATCAAATTTATTTGAGTCTTTTAAAAGACGCGAAATGTAAATAAACTGAAATAAATGCGCGAATAAAATATTGCAAGCCATTTAAAACATTAAATCAAAGTGAATATATATGGACTTAGGTAAATAGCGGCAGACTAGCCAAGTGGATCACTCTGTACCCCTTTAGCCAGTATTAAATGTAGAAACCCTTAACGTAGGGAAGACAGATTTGGTATGACCCAAAAAAAAGGAGTAGCAGAGACAAAAGAAGCTCATTGACATGCTCATTAATAATGTTATTGCCTTTTGTGCGATAAGTGTCAAAAAATTACTACAATAGGGTAAGGCAGAGAAGAAGCTGTGAGATGTATTCCAGCACTTAATTGTCCAACTGCTGTCGGCAATCAAGCAGAAAAGGGCCAGAGACTGGATCGGGAACCGAGCTGGGAGTCCACGAAAGGAAGCAGACAATTCAAACTAGAGCGTGTGACTGCTGAGTGGATTTGCATATTCGGAATATCTGTCTCCAGTGGAGTGGACTCCATTGGCAGGGCTAATAATAAAGCATATTACCGGCAATTGTCTGGCCAGAGAGATGATCACGGCAGAGCAGAGACGAGGGGCTTGGGTTCTTGATTCTTGTTCTATTTTGTAGCCGCTTCAAAATATTTGAGACAATCGTGGTTTGCTTGTTTGAACACCTTTTCTCCCTTTGTGGCCCTTTATCTGATTTGGCATTGTCCATCATTTTGTTTGCTTTAAAGGACACATTTTTTTGCCCCTTGTTTATTATTCTTATTGAGGAAAATCCTTCTGCTTTTTGTGCATTCATTTTGGGTCTGTCAACAGCAACTTGATGAGCTTGTTGAGAATGTATCTACATACATTCAACTGATCTGGTTCTTATTGTCTAAGCCGCTTCGTAACCTTCGCCCCCCCCCCCCTCCCCATCGCCAACAGGCTCCTTGCCCCTCCAGTTCGGTTCGGCTCGGAAAACATTTTGTAGATCTCCGCAGATTAGATCTGAACAATCATCCACTTGGCTTACAATCAATACGGATAGTTTTTAATTAATTGTTTGTTCAAGTCGAATGTGTAACATTAATCTTTGTTTAAATGTGGCTTAATCGATAAGCCTGGCAGCTGGGGATTGTTTCTATTTTCTGATTTTGTGCTCGGTTAGGTCCGATTAAGAGATGAACAATGGCAATGGCAATCTGTTTATGCATTTGGAATGCCACGAGTTGAGTTCAATAAAAAATAGACAATTCATATCGAAGTTAAGCTAACCGCTTACCGCACGTATTCTTCCAGCGAGGGGAACCGAGTCCATCCCAACCACAGAAATACTCACACAATACGCTCTGCCTTCAAGACCTTAATTAGAAATTGGGCTTGCGGAATGGGAATTATGTGTGTCCTGGTACACGACTTGGATCGGTATTTCCCGTTTGATGGGAGAACGGAGGATGCAGCAGCCTCAGCGATGAGACAAATCTCTTGAATCTCTTGGGAGCCCAATTTGCGTCCGGTTTTGTTAAGCGTACGGCCTTGGCCAGCGCACAGTGGTTTTTTTCCCCTTTTTTTGGCATAAACTCTAAATTTAAAGCTAGTTTCATATGATTTGGAGCACTATTTCATATAGCTGCCATATAACCGATCTGGCCGACTTGCAACGAGGTGTTAGATTACACTTCGGCAAGTGTGTAGTCTTCCACTTTTTCATTTATTAACCTAATATGCTTGTCATTTAAATGTTTTTGAGGGATAAATTGAAATATGTGCTGCTGTACTGCGTCTTATGAGCGATTCTTGTCGCTCCAAATGTCTACCCATATTGTACTAGATAAATTCGATATGTGCAAAAACGTGTGCATTCGGAGTAAAAGCGTTAGTGTCTCATTCATCTGCACACTTTGGTTAATAACTACTCACTTAAAACTCTTTGCTAATTTACTGATCCACGAAACACAACTAAACTTGTAAGGTAATTCTAAACACGTCACAATTGGACAAAAACACATAACATCGACACAAATATTAGTAAACTACATTTTTAGATACCTGGACAATCGTTTTGCACAACAATCCTTTTCACTTTTTTGGAAAATTTCGACAGAACAAGCAATCAAAGTTGTAAAATTTTACCCGCCAATTTCATACATAACATGTAGTAAAAAATCAGCTGACTTTATTAATATTATTTTATCTAACTAGGGTGTTTAGAAATTAAAAATCAAAAAAATTTAAAATAACTAAACCACAACAAAAAAATTGACAACATTGCCAACAAAAAAAACGGAAAAAACCACTGTGCAGCGTCGTGATAGTGCCAAAAGGATTGAAGCCGCCTTTGGATACAAATCTGGAGCTTTATCGCTTCGTGGGGATTCCTTTCGGTTTGCTTAAAAAGGCTAGAAACGATGGTGGAAATTTGCTGTAATTATATCGGCAGATAAGCCGCTAAGAGACAGGTCTTGGGTGAAATTAGTTTATCTTGTGTGATAGTGTCTGAAGCCGTAAGTCAGAATGTGAATTGGTGTAAATTTAATAACTGGTTGTGGCCTGAATTGGGATACACATATTTGGAAAATCATAAGGAACTGCAAGTTGAAGAACTAAAAGTATGGATTCACTTTACAATTCACCTAAGCTATGCAAAAGTATGCATAGAACATATTCCTCTCTTCAGTGCTCCCTTTGGTGTGGAACTAAAGCTATTCCAGACACCCCCCTACTCCGGCCAAGTGTTTGCTTAGGTGTCCATATCTTGACATTGTCCGACTCCAGGGCTGACAGTGGCAGAGGGAGCTACAACTGCAACTAGAAATGTGCCCAGCAGGTGGTGCCACAACGTGATGCTGCTTCTGTGATAATGGTTAACCCCAGGCGCGCTGGGGCTCTTCCTGGCTCCGCGCTGCCCCTCCAACCCATGGCCGGCCTGCCAATGCCCAACACTTTGCATATAAACGCTCGCTAATGGACACCAAAGGTGACAGCAGAGCCTTGCTAAATTGGCAAACATTAAATTTGCACCTTCACAGCGAGCTCCAGCTCCAGCTACAGCTTCGGCTTCGGCTCCAGCTCTGGGGACAGGCGCGACCGAAACCGTGACAATTTTCGGCACAGCGGTGCGCTTTTCCAGAAAGCAGGAAAATCAGCGGCAGACAGAAGAAATCGCTTCAATCGCTCGGAGCCTGAGAGGCGACCCAGAACTGAAACTCTTGAGCACTTTGTGCCCCATAGATAATCTTGGTGGCTTACAGCAGCAAGGTTGGAACTTAATGGGGGAGGATCGGGTGGAAAAGATACTGATAATCGTATCGTAGACATTTGCCGGAAGCAAAGGATGCATTAAGAGTACATCATTGAGAGTCCTTGCTGATGGAGTGTCCTGTCCTATCCGATAGAGTACTACTACTATAAGGGTAACCAAGTTGGGATGAGCACCCATTCTGACCCACATCCACACAGTTTATGGGCAAGCTAACAACCAAAGAATTCACAATGTATTGTACGGGCATATCCATGACAAAATCAATCCCTCCCCGAGATTCTTCATGCTCATCAAATAGTTGACGCAGAATTTTCGTAATTTTGTTGTGGTGTCTTTTGTTTTTGCTTGACCTTAAGAGCTTTATGAGCGGCCAAAACGAGTCACAGCATGCATTAGATGTGTGAACGTGAAGCCTTCTGTGGGAAAGAGAGGGGCAGTGGCAAAGGTAGTGGCAGTGGCAGTCGCAGTCGCAGTCACGGAGAGATGGCGAGAGGAGGAGTCGAGGTGCAGGGTCTGGTCTGACATTGCCGCGACCGAAACTTTGATGGTGCAAGCCCAAACCGGTCGCTGCATACCTCAATTTCTATCCACGACCTGTGGCAAAAAAAAAAGAAGAGAATTCAAAAAGGAAAAAGAATACAAAATAAAGTAAAGAGAAACGCAGTGGGTCATCGGTTATGCCTGTGGTTGTTGCTGTTTCGATGCCTCTTCGTCTGCTGCCTTTTGGTGTGGCTTTTGGTTTTTTTTTCTGTTTGTCAAATCTGAGTGAGGAGAAAAAAGATATACATACCTCGTACAAGAAGAAAAACAGTCGGTGGAAAAAGTCCCATCGATAACAAGGACAATCGTGAAGAGGCCGCCAAAGATTGAAGTTTTTTCAACTAAGAGTTTCGGCAACAAGTTTGGAAGAGCCTAAGAATAATACTTTAGGTTTTAGGTGATTTATATTATATGTATTTACTTTATATATTTCTGTGACTTTAGATCTATGCTTTAACTAAGAAATAACTACATTCTCTTTGCAGATGAACCAGCTGTGCAAAGTGTGCGGCGAACCGGCGGCTGGTTTTCATTTCGGGGCATTCACATGCGAGGGCTGTAAGGTGAGTACTCCACTCCCAACCACTCCCAACCACTCCCATCCAATCCATCCATTCCTTCCATTAGTTGAGAAATATTACCCCAAATGGATATTTTATGGGGATTACCCGAGACAATTGTGAGAAACACGGGTGCTGCGATTTCGCACATTTCGTACAAGTAGACAAAATGTGCAAAAAATGATCTCGATTTTGGCTTTTACTTTTCATCGAAAACATTATTACTATAATTAAAATTCAATTCGGTAGATTAATCGATTTTTAATTGACTTTAAGTAGATACGTGTGCGCACCTCAGCACCTCAGTAGCTCAGTAGCTCAGCACAAAGCAAAAGCCTCCAAATGGCATGGGAAAATTTCTGCAAAATTTAGAGCAGTTATCAGGGAGAGCGGGAACTACAAATACGAGTACGAGTATGAGTACGAAGTGTGTATACATATATAGAGCTAGGTAAGCCCCAAGGCGAGCACAAATGTAAACTGCAGTCAATCAAATAAAAATTACATGCATATTAGATGAGTCAGCGCATTCGGAAACAAAGGTCCCAGACACCCATCAAACTTGGCTCAACTCCACTCAGAGTTGAACTTCAAAATCAACTGCGCCATGAGGCGGCACCCGGCACGGCACCAGCCGAAAACAATGGAAATCAGTTGCGATACAATAAATGGTGCATGGAGATTTATTCGTATCTATGTATGCTGTTCCTTCTTTGTGGCCTGCCTCATCAGTAGTTGGGCACATTTGATAATTGAGGCAAGTTCGACAGGGGTAGAGTGGACAGGTGCACACACAGGGAAAGAGGTGACATCCATTGTTTAAAGCTGTTAGCCAGTTGATCAGCTGCGGTGACCTGCAGAGCGGGCAATATCAGGAGCAGTCTGACCACGAGCCCTTGATCGATTGGCTTTGATAGAAGTTCTTTTTTGTCTTTAAAGAAACTGGTAATGAAACTTAGTCAAGGCAACTTGAAGCGTTGCAGTCGATTGGTCCGTAGAGACATACTCTGCACATCGAATGATTTTTTATCTAATGACCTCTTGGGTATGAAAGGCAAGCAGATTGTTCAACGGTTACAAGAGGTTATGCCAAGGTCTCCAATAAAGTCTGAGTAGAATGCTGATTTTATTTGAGTTTAAAGTTATAGGTTCTACTCGTAGCAGCTCTGAAAAATCAGCGGATAAGTAGTTCACAACTGGAGACTCGTCGTAGAGGTCTCCTGTTTGTCTGGATGCAAGATACTCATCTAAGATCTTTCTCTACCCACCTCTTCCAGTCTTTCTTTGGGCGCACCTACAACAACATCGCGGCGATAGCCGGCTGCAAGCACAACGGGGACTGTGTGATCAACAAGAAGAACCGCACGGCCTGCAAGGCGTGTCGCCTGCGCAAGTGCCTCTTGGTGGGGATGTCGAAGAGTGGCTCTCGCTATGGACGCCGCTCCAACTGGTTCAAGATCCACTGCCTGCTGCAGGAGCAGCAGGGCACGGCGGGGACAGCCAGTGGGACGGCTGGTGGGGGACCAGGAGGAGTCGGTGGGGTGAGCAGCGCGAATCTGGAGCAGCTCGCGCGCCTGCAGCAGGCGAGCCATCAGGCGCGGCAGACCTATCAGGACAAGACGAATCCCTGCATCAAGTCAGCCACATCCAGCTCCCCCACAATAGCGGGGGTGGGTGCGGCAGGAGCCACCTCCTCCGCAGCCTCTCCTAGCCTGCCCGGATTCCTGCAGGCGGCCAAATATCTCAACGATCGTCAGCAGCACCAAAAGCACCACCAGCGGCAGTTGAAGCTGGAATCCCGCCTCAGCAACACACCCAGCGACTCCGGCGCATCCTCGGCCGGCGATCCCAACGAGGATGGGGCCACTAGCGTGCTGAGTGGCAACACCACGGGCGTCATCAGCAGCACTGCATCGATGCCCAAGTTGAGCCAGCGGCCGGTGGGTTGTCCTCCGTTCCCCGCCTCCTCCGAACCAGACGCGGACCTGGCTGCGCAGCAGCAGCGTCAGCGCCATCAGGAGCTGCTAGAGATCTTCCGCAGTCACTCGGAGCCGCTCTACAGCTCCTTTGGCCCCTTCAGCCACCTGCCGCCAGTGCTCCTCGCCGCCGGGGTGCCCCCAATGCCCATCTTCAAGGATCAGTTCAAGGCGGAACTGCTATTTCCGGCCGCCAGCAGTCCGGAGCTGGACGAACCCATCGATCTCTCGCTCAGATCGCGAACAGATCCAGCCAGTCCCTTGGCGCCTGGCTCGAACAGTCCCAGTCTAAGCGAGCCTGCAGCGGCTGGTCATTTCCTGGACGAGTCCTCGATCCTTGTCCGCAAGTCCACGCCCCTCGACCTCACTCTGGTGCGCTCCCAAACTCTGACGGGCTGAACGAGAGCTGCCTGAAAATTCGTTCCTGTGCCAAAACAATTTCGAAAAGACATTCTTTCCTCCATTGAGACCCTGTCATTGGAACCCGAAACCAGAATTAAATCTACCCAGAAAACCGCTTCATCTTCATCATTTTGGTGCCAGTGAAATTATGTACAAATATCAATATTATTTTGTTTTTATTTAGCTCAATTACAGCCGCTAGGAGAAAAGAGTGAACAATCGTATTATAGAGTACATATATAAAACAAATACATAAATATAAATAAATACATGATACTTTCTAGACAAATTTACAAACGATTGTCATTTAATGTGCTATGCGAGAATTTGCTTACATTTCGGTTGTTTTTCTTAATTTATGTGTAGCTATATATATATGTATACATATATTTAGTTATTAGCTTGTAGGTTTTTCGATTAGAGCGTTGTTTTCGTATTGACCTTTTGTTTGTTTTATTATTTTTAAATAATTTATTTGCTTAGATTTTAAGCCAATGTATAAACTTTAAAAGAAGAGTAAAATAAAAGTGAGAAGTTATGAAGAAAAGTTGATCTAGTGTGTGGAGAATATTTTAAAACATTTTGCAGTCCCCCCAACTACACACGAAATGAATTTCTTTCTTTTCCTCCTTGAGCTCTCTCTCTGTGTCTCTTGAGGTTGACATAAAAAGCTTCATTCAATTGACACATGACCAAACTTTTCCATGACCATCTACAGCAGAAATTTGTTCAATATACAAGTACAGGTATGTATGTATATACTATACAGGGATATATGTATGTACGAGTATAAGTAAGTTTGCGATTCAACTGTCACGGCTTCTATGTTTACGTGTATATCCATCAAGAGGCGAACACAAATCCGGACCGCAGCGAGCCCGGTCCCCAGTCAATGCGTTATTCATTACATAACCAGGCTGCTGACATATTTCCAAATGTCAGGCAGGCTGCCTAGATGTTGACTATATAAATGTAATTATGACAGCCCTGGACAGATGACACAATCCGCACAGACCCAACGGGGGACCTGAAACTTGTGGAGGCAGAAGGAAATCAAATGACTTAGAAAACGAACTAGATTTGAACATCTGGATGAACTGAACTAAGAAAATACAAACCTGCAGAAAATGATACTCTTGGTAGGTACTTATTACTCAGCACAAAGACAATTCCTACTCGTAGCCACCTAATCGTATACTTAACACTCACTCATGGCCATGTGCACAGAGACAAACTCTCTTGATTGGCTCATCTCAGTGTCTAAGCTTCGAGTGGCAATTGGCACATCTATTCAGTCAGCCCGGTCGGTGTCTGTGTGTGAGAGTATCTCTCGGAACACGCCCCCTGAGAGCAGGGAGACAAAGTGAGATACAAAGCTGAATAGTCGCACGACACACGCACAATTAGCCGCGGCAGCAACAGTAGCCGCTAAACAGAAATAACAGTCTAAGCAAAATGAATACACGGAATACTCGTACATACGCCAGACAGATCGAGCCACTCAGACGGAGATCGTGAGCATAAAACATCGACTCGCGTGCTCAATATGCCTTTAAAATGCATTTATTCACAACGAATGTGGCCAAATCGGGTTGTGCCCGTGAGATGGGGATGGGGATGGGGCCTGAGGCAGGGCCTCTGGCTGAGACAGAGACAGAGACAGAGCCAGGGACAGAACAAGTGGTCTGTTGTGTAGATTCTTGTTGCAGATACTTTCGCAATGAGTTTTATTGGTGTCGTTGATAATGATCAGGGATACAGGAGACTACTGATGGAACAAGGGATATTGTATTTCTATATATCTGCATGTATTTATGTATGTATGTATGTATTTCCCGTTTCGGGTTTTTAATTCAGTTGTTCAGTTGTAATCGAAAGTTAGTCCAAATGCAGACCACCCACCTCTCGTAGTCCCTCTTACGAATATGTAACACAATACCCACAACAATAATAATCATAATATTTTGTGACGATTTACGACTGCTGAACTTGGAGCATTCAATAAAATGACAAAAATAAATAAATCTATGGCACGGAGAAAATGAAATCAGTCTACAGAGCCACACAGCGGGGCGAGCATTTACAAACAATGAAATTCAATGCAATAATTCAAGATTCAATTGAATTTTAAGTACGCTCAGAGCAGAGCAGGCAGCTTCCTTCTGGATCTGTAACTAGATACTGACGATAAGCCAAGGCCTAAGGTCCACTGACTGTCAGTCAGTCAAACTGTCTGACGGTCTTGCCGACGGCAATCCATCTCAGCCCGACTTGTCTGTCGCGCACGCGCATTGAGAATTTTGCTGGAAAAGCAGAAGGCGTCCTCAGCTGTATGTAAGCGGGAATTGGCCCCAAAACTGAGACAATTTTCGGTTCAGTTTTAGTTTCGGGTTCAGGTTATTGTTTAGGGCAAAGTGGGGGGTCAGGGTGTTGTTTTTACGGAACTGTAGATGGAAGATCTTTAGAGAAATTGTTCAATATATCATCTAAATAGTACATGTAATGCTCCCATGCTCCCATTCTTCGGGTACAAATAAAACGAACACATAACAGCCTTAAAGATCCGTTTAAGGCCAAAAAGCAGCCAGTACCAAAGACTTTTCACCATCCCGCAGTGAAATCGCTTAAAGATCCACAACAAATCTCAGCAACAAGAGTTCAGAGTTGTCAATAAAAATTAATTGCAATTTTATTGCCACAGAAGGCAGCTCCTGCATACAAAGTACCTGACACGCATGCCACCTGAATGCTCTTTGCGGAAAGGTAACCATGAATAAAAACGCACTTGGTAACAAGTCAAGCAAAAGTATTTATAAAAGCATTAAATTTCAGGAACAGCTTAAAAGGTCATTCCAAATAATAGACAGCTCACATTGGAGTCACATATGCAATAGAGTATTTATTAAACGTGTTGGCACCCGTGCAGATGTTTGAAAGCAACGTAAGTGTCTGACTTCCTGACCAAAATATCGATTGACCCAATTTGGAAGAGCCCTCCAAAAAAAACAAACCAGAAAAAAAAAATTAATTCAACTTCATTCTTAACTTTCTGATGCTGCGAGCATCTTAAATGCTCAAAATGCACAACACGTGCGTCCCAAAACCGCAAACAGCTAAGAGGAATAATTTTGACTTAAGGTAGGCCAAACACTAAAATTTATGCATTTTTTATTGTCTATTTTTTTAGTTTTATAGTTTCGGAAGCACAATTTTTAAATACATTTTTTATTTTGGTTTTGCATTCATCGAAAATTAATGTTATTTTTAATATAAGTATAATTCCATTGAGACTTCTCTATTTATTCTGAAAAATCTGACAACGTTCGAATCAATATCCTGGCACCCATTCACGCCCGCAAAGTCAACTGTGATTAGTAATCAATATGCTTTTAGTTAATTCAATAAATGGCTTTTAAGATTTAAGATATGAATACGCACAGTCTATAAGTATCGACACTGGTTTTAAGCATTTGACTTTTATTTTAAATATATACATATGTATTCATATATACATTGTATATGTATAGAACAGATATTTCAAATTAATATTAATTTTTTTCACAAGAAGCAGAAAACTAAATTAATTTTAGATTCTGTTGGAGTTTGAGTCGTCTCCTTTTTTAAATGGTCAGCTCAGAGTTTATCTTCTTGCGGATCACTGGCCAGGGTAGAGCAGTTTTCGTCGTCATTAATAAAGTATTTATCCTCAGCGTCCGTCATTCGAGCAATAGAAAGATGGAAACTAAATGCTTACAAAACTTGTTTGGTAGGAACGCACTGGCCGCACATTAAATTGTTGCATTTTATGCAGTGCGAACTGCACCGACTGCAGGACGATGACAAGCAGAAAATTGATATAGCAGGACTAACTCTGTTATCAGCCGTTGCAGTATCCGATCGGTTGCCTCTGGCCATGGAAGTATTATTTTTATACCCGTACTCAAAAAGAGTTAAGGGGTATATTGTATTTGTGGTAAAAGTGGATGTGTGCAACGCAGAGAACGAATTCTGCCAATTATTTGCCAAGCCACAAGCCAACATCCTTTGAACTTCAAATCCACTTCATTGGAAGAACCTAACTATATATTTGCCGTGCCGTGACCTTTTCAGAGTAAGTTCTCTACAAATGATTGCATGTCAGTGGCCGCACCAATAAAACAACAAGTAATTTTGTTTGCTTTGTTCCATATTTGTTTTTGTTAGTTTTAATTGTAATATTGTAATTGTAATTAATTAATGAATATAAATATATGATGTTATAGTGAATCCATTCCGCTAATAATTGAGGGTTTCTTTTTTACAGCACGCGTACGCTGCCATTTCTACGAGTATATCTTTTTAGATCCGTATTAACAGCCGCGCTATGTCAACTGTGAGCTTAAAACAAATTTATAATTAGATTAATATTTAATGTATTAAGAGAAATTCTTTTTATTTGCGCCATTTTGGAATAAATGCTGCTTTTTTTCTTAAACAAATCTTTTTTTCCACAGTTTTACAGTAAAAATTACATTTTAAAATTGTTTTGATTTTTTTTTAAATTTAGCTGGCATTAATTAAATATTTAACGGTAAAAATTTAAGAAGAGCGTATTTTTTTTTGTTTTTTCCCTATTAAAATGTTGAAAAAATACCATATGAAAATTACAAAAATTTTACTTGAAAAACAGAAAAAAAAATACTGCAAAAAACACGTACATTTTTTTTGGTTATTTTGGGTTTAAAACTTGGCTAATATCCAATAACCGAACCCGAGCTGCCACAAAAAACGTCGCAGCGCTCCAACTGGCGGGAATAATTTTTAGGACGAAGTTAAAGCCCGCTAGAGGCGCCCCCGCCTATAAAATATATATATCGATATCGATATTACATAGCGTGGTTGACTTTGCGGTAGAGGTGGAGAAACATAGATGAAAACATCGATGCATCGATGTTTTTAAATTTTTTGGAAACATCGAAAAACATCAATGTCCACGAACATCGATGTTTCTCCACCCCACCTTTACTTTGCGGTGTCTGTCTGGGTCTTTTAACGATCTAGCGTATATACTTTTCTGGATTTTTTAATGTCGAAAATTAGCAAAAGGTATATTAAATCATTTTCGTCGATTTATTAAAATCTATTTTTATGTGGGTAAAGTTTTTTTTCCTTGGTATATTTACGGTATTTTTTACAAATGATAATGTATATTTTAGTATATTTCTGAGGGTCGTCACACTGGATCGAAGCTCGGTCACTCTTCCCGCCTTTAATTTGCTTTTTTTGCAAAAATTTAAAAAACTTGTTTTTTGTAACCACTTTAAACTAGAAAATACCTAGTTGTTAACGAAACTAATTGATATCTTCAACAAAATCGAAGGAGGAGGATCGCATCAACTGCTCTACAAGCACCAAGTTACTCTGGCGGGAATTAGCGATTCCTTTGTGCCGCTGTGCATGGCCCGACAGGATAGCTGTCCCTGCTCATTGCCAGAAGCGATTTCGTCAGTCTTTAATATTCCTCTTGGAGAACTGCTATGCGAAGAAGTAACGGGGGTAAGTGCCATGCCAAGAGTGCCGCAGAAGGCGATAATTATAATTATTCAAATGTGTATTGCAGACAAAAGAATCGCGAAAACTCTTCACAGCACGCCCCTTGAGCCAAGGACAGTTGCGTTTCCTGGCCAGGATGGCCATTCTACAGCACCATATGCATGATCGGCTCATCTTTGGCAACATTTGTGCCGGATAACAGCGCATATCTGCTACATTTAGTCAAAGCTTCTCCCGTTTTCGCAATGGGTCCGATCTAGCAACTCAAATGGGGCCAAAAAGTCGATTTGGCTTCCACTGCATCGATCCGTACTGCACGCCAGCCGCAGACTCTCTGTCTGTGCCAAATGCCAAGGAAATTGATGCGAATGAGATCCGTCAATGCAGGAAAATAGGCAATTAGTCAAATGTTCCTCGTAAAAATAAGACAATTCGATGGAATGGAACTAACTACATACACATAGCATACAGAAAGACGACACTTAAGTTTTAGAGTTAAGGCATCATCAATACAATTTCTTCCATCTTTTTACCTCACTTTTCGAACTGGAATCTCGCAACCATAGAATAAACTAAATAAGTTATTCAGCTGCCATAGGCACAATAAGTCCTCAACATGAATTTTTAGCTTTTAATTTGTTTTTAACGGTATAATCACCAGCTTGGAAAAACATAAATTTAACATTAATTAAAGTAATTAATCAACAGAGAACGCTTAACCCATTGTCGATCTGTGGGTACTTTCAATTTACGCACGTATTTCAAGAAACGTTTTTACGCATTTCAGGTGAAAGATGTCGTGGTAATATTTTGTTGTAAAGTATAGAAAAAGAAGGTACAAGGAGCGTTTACAAACAGTATTATTTCCCGCGACTTAACTCCATGTGTTCAGTGGGCCAAGTTCTTTTTTTCCTCGGTATATTTACGGTATATTTTTTTAAATGAAAATATATGTATATTTCGGTATATTTCTGAGGGTCAGATTAATTAAAAATTAAAAATATTGTGCAGAATGTATCCTGTGAGCTCGCAGAAAAAGTCCTGGACATTTGCTAATGAGGCGCAGCTTTTGGCCTTTCGAGTGGAACAGAATTCCAAGTACATTGAGGAGCATGACTCCGACTGTCAGGATGGCGACCCGGAGGAATTTTTTCTGACGCCGGCCGAGGAGCGCCTGCTGCTCAAGCAATATGAAGTGTATTTGTTTGACTTTTGCCGACGCTTCGATCCGCCCATGCCCAAATGTGTGGTGGGCACCGCGTTTCACTACTTCAAGCGTTTCTATCTGAACAATACGCCGATGGACTATCATCCCAAGGAAATACTGTGAGAATGTGCAACTTAAATGTAATAGAGATTAACCTAATCACAGAGCCTTTGTTCACCAGAGCCACATGTGTGTTCGTTGCCTGCAAGGTGGAGGAGTTTAACGTGTCCATTAGTCAGTTTGTCAACAACATCAAGGGCGATCGGAACAAAGCCACAGACATTGTGCTGTCCAATGAGCTGCTGTTGATTGGCCAACTTAACTACTACCTCACCATACACAATCCGTTCAGACCCATCGAGGGGTTCCTTATAGACATAAAGGTCAGTAAATCCAATGACATATCATAAGGGCCATGTCTATCAAACCTTTTGTCTTAGACTCGGAGCAATATGCAGAACCCGGATCGCTTACGTCCGCATATTGAAAGCTTCATCGATTCCACGTATCATACAGATGCTTGCCTGTTGCATACACCCTCGCAGATCGGCTTGGCCGCTGTGCTGCATGCGGCCAGCCGAGAGCAGGAGAATCTGGACAGCTATGTGACTGACTTGCTGTTTGTGTCAGCGCGGGATAAGCTGCCAGGTCTCATTGATGCCGTGCGAAGTAAGCTTAGCTTGTGACCAGCTGCGACCCTATTTATTGTTGTACATTGAATGCATGTTCCCACAGAAATCCGGATCATGGTCAAACAGTACCAGCAACCCGATCGGGATAGGGTGAAAGCCATCGAAAAGAAGCTGGATAAGTGCCGCAATCAGGCAAATAACCCGGATAGTGAACTGTAGGCTGTGATGAATGACCGCTGTCGTTAGCAAACATTCCTAATATTCTAATTTCTGGTCAATTCTGCAATAGGTACAAGGAGCGCTTGCGGCGAATGTACACTGATGAGGACGACATTCCAGCCGAAGATGCCTCTTTTCATATTGCTGACGTGAGCTCGGATACCTCAGCAATGAATACCAGCCAATAGGATGGGATATCCAAAATGAAATAAGCTAATTTCGAATTTTTATATTTTTAGTTATACATCGTACCGTAAAAATAAATATTTATCGATAGATCTGTTTTTGTGGTATTTTTCGCTTGCGTCCTGCGGGCACACTGCTGGCTCAACAAGAAACTCTAAAAATAAACAAATACAAAAATCTGGTGGAAAATGCACGAAATATTGTCATCGCTGGACGGCCTCTTCCTGGGCCTACCCGGTCACTATTCGATCGCCCTGACCACTCTCTTACTCTGCGTTTTGGTGGCCTTTTATTTTGCAAATTTCTTCAAGGATAACAACGTGAGTACCCCCTCAAATCGTGCTGCGCAATAAAGTACCCTTCGATATAACAAGCACAACCAAACACATTTGTACGTCACGAAGGAGCTGGAGGACGAGGGACTGGGCCCCGATGAAATGCATGACGAAGACGATTCCGAGCTGAGGGCGCATCTGGAGGACGAGGATGATGATGAACTGGATTTGGATGACGACGAGGCCTTCGAGGAGCGTACAAGTGATAGCGACACGGAGCTCATCGAGGATCATCGGCCCAGCCAGGACTACAGTCATCTCATGGGAAAGTTCAAGACCAAACACATGCAGAACAATGTCGAGAAGACCCTTACAGCCGACCAGATCATGGAGGAGCGTCGCATTGAGAGGGAGCAGCTGGCGGCCATTTTTGAAATGCTGCGCAAGCAAGAGGCCGAACTGAATCTCAAAGATCGCATCAGCGACCAGGATCTCGACGAACAAGTGCGCCTGTATCGCTAAGCCCAGTGGAGGGGAATGCTCAGCTTACCTGAAAGTAGAAACTTGTGTGATCTATGTTTGAAAGTATCCTTGTTTTATTTTAGTCGGTCGACTTAAAGTATTCTTAGATTAACTATACATATTAGTTGCCAAACACGTTCCTTAGTTATTAATAGATGATGTGTATGTATTTATGTATCTGTAATTGCATTACCAAAATTATTTGTTGGATAAAGAATGGAATTATGTTCAATTGTTTCAAAGACTTCCTTTCGCATTTCATCCCTAGCCCTGTTAGAAAATATAATCGTAGCAACCGCTGCCTGCCATGGCAACCACAAATACTTACCTACCTACCTATCTCCTACTCAAAAAATCAGTCACAAGCCAAACCCGGGCACAGTTGGAGCAAATAAATTTAGAGAGCAAATTATTTTTAACGTAAGAAAACAAAATGGTAAACTTTGTTTATCCCGAGGAGCTGTACTTTTTCGTTGAGAGTATTCGCGGATTTGAGGTGCGGGACGTTGGCAACAGCAAATGGCTAGAGGTGCACGAGATGGTCATCAAGCTGAGTCAGCAGGCTGCCTACGAGGCGGCCCAGAATCGCGAAGAGGAGGTCAAAGAATTCCTCATTTCACGAGACAAACTGCGCTTGCTGATACACGAGGCCTACTGCGTGAATCTGTGGAAGACTCGGGTCCTGCCGCATCTGCTGGAGATCGACCCGAATCCCCAGGCCACTTTCCTCATCTACACGGTGATGTACCATGAGGCGGCACTGGTGGCTCTTTTGGACATGTGTCTCTACCACCCCAGTGGCTGCGAGACGCTGCAGGAATCGGTGCTGGATCTCATCGACTACTGTGCCCATTCGGTATCTCAGGTGATTGGACTAGTCAGCATGGGCTATCACGAGAACGAGTCAAAGGTGGACGTTGACGAGGCTGTGCTCACCGAGCTGGAACGCCAGAAACGCAATTTCATATACAAGATCGGCCTACGCTGCATCTCCATTCTCAACTACTTGACCGACAACGTGTCGCTCTTTCACCTGAGCGCCACTCGTCGCTTGCTGTTTACCCACGACATCCCCTGGCTAATGGTGGATGTGCTCTGCTTCCGCCCCTGGCAGCGTAAGACCAGCAAGGGGCTGCAAAAGTTTATCGACGAGAAGTGGACCAATGTGGAAGATGCCGCCAAGATAGTCAAGCCCGAGGCACAGGCATGGTTCTGTGTGCATCAGCTGCTTCTAAATCCCCAGATCATGGAGAACTATGAGCTGAACGAGGCGCGTTGCAAGCAGCTATCGAAGGTGAAGGCTGGAGGGGGCGCTCCCACTCCCCATAAACGTTTTGAATGACTGTCCTATCTTCCGCAGCTCTTGGGTCTAATGCACGAAACCCTCTTGGACCAGCTGCCCGCGCTCATTGGGCTGAAGCAATTCCTTAGCCGCTTGACCCTTAGCGGCAATACTGCGGCCAAATCGCAGCCTCTTCTGTTGGAAGATCTGCCCCAAATACAAAACGACCTCACCAAGGAGGTTGATCGCGATGGCGGCTTCTATCAGATAGCCCAAGCTCAGGACTCAGTATTTCTTAGCATGGACAAGAAGCAGATTTGTGACCTAGCCAGCCGCTTGAGTGCTGCCTACGGCACAGAGCTCTTGTGCGAGCTAGAGCAGAATATGGAGGATCTGAATGTGCAAGAGGGGAAGCCAGTGTCTGCGTCTCCGCCGGATTCTGGGGCTGGCGGCGACGCTGCAGCAGGAGAGCAGATGAAAAAGTGCGCCACTTGCCATGCTCAGGCCAAAAAGAAGTGCGCCAACTGCAAGAAGGTTCACTATTGCTCACGGTAAGCCATGATACTCGATTCTCAATCAGAGATCTGCTCACATTATAATCCGCTTGCGCTTGTTTTGCAGTGAGTGCCAACTAAAGGACTGGCCACAGCACAAAACTGCCTGCAAGGACAGTTCTTAATTTGATTTTGTTCCATGTTTCGTTTCAGAGTCGTTAAAATAGAACAATCCAAAATTGTAAAAGGGTCAATTTCTTTTATTTTATGGATTTCTTACGTTTTTATTTTTATTAGCATAAAAAACTTTCACGTAGTCTCTCATTCAACAGACAGGGGACAGCATAAGGTCTAGCTGTTCTGCCTGAGATGGTCCTTAACCACATCTAAAGCGGGTGTTTCCTCACCAAAGTCCTTGATGACCACCACCGAGCAGCCGCACACCTTGCGGGGCTTGCCCTCCTTGTCGATCTTGCACAGGCCGGACCATTCGCCCAGCTTCTTGTGCGAGTCCACGCGGATCAGGGGGATCTGATGCTCGTTGCACAGGGCAGTGACCAGTTTCTTGTAGTTGGGCTCATCGAAGGACTCGGCCAGAATGCACAGAACGGCCTGACGCCTGTCCAAAAGAAAAATATGTTAGAAAAAGAGAATTGATGAGCTCGCGCAGGGCGAAAACCGGTTTGCGAACATGTGCTCAGCAATTGGAAGGTTTTTAATCAATGGATAATTCATAAACACGGACCAATTAATTTCATCAGAGGCACTCGCGCCACAACCAGATCGGGTCTTTGGCCCACTTACTTGTCCAGGGCCTTGCAAGCCTGGTGGATGCCATGCACGAGACCATCAGCAATCAGAGACTTCTTCAGCACTTCCTGCAGAGCAGTGTTTATGTCCATGGCGCCATCCAGGACGGGGGCAGCGGAGGGCACATCACTGCAATAATGCGGAAATACAACCATTAATTACTTATTCATTACACAAACTGCACCGAAAACTTCATTTAGCCTTGATTTGTCAGTAATTGGAGAATTTATAATCAATGTAAATTCATAAACACGGACCAATTAATATCATCAGAAACCCAAATGGCGGGTAAAGGCATAAACATCCATTTTCACCCACTAAATGACGACTTACACATCAACGTCGGCCATATTTTAGCGATTGAGGATTCACTTCACTGCAATGAATAATAAAAAACACATTATATGTCAGGATGTCACGCATTTCGGCGAATTAAATCGGACCAAATTTTATACACATTCGCACCTTTAGACAACCGGAAAGAAAGAAATTAGAGCTGTCAAACCATCGACGATACTCGCGATAATATCGATAGGTGGCTGGTCACCATCGATTGTTTTTTTCACCATCGATGTATCGCGTAGCAAGTTGCACTATCATTACGCGTACCAGCGATAACACGTCCAATTCAATAGGCTAGGCTTCTTCATGCTCCTTTGCGTCTTGCCGGAGACGCAGTTTGTTTTACATAGGTTAAGCATAGGGCCCTAGCGGTGGCAAAAAGTTGCGTCGGTCTCTGATTCATGTGCGTCTATTCGATATATTCGTTTGTTTTTGCGCCTAACAGCACATTTTCACACAAACTCTACAAAGAAATGTCTGAAAATAATAAATAAATATGAGAATCAATTCTCTTTCGTCCATTTTCTTGTCGTCTTGCATAATTCTATTGATTTTCCAAAATTTATTTTTCTTTCCTTGTCAATAAGCACCCGAATCAAAATTTAATACGCACGTGCCAATGTAGACGCATTTTCTGCTTCATTGCGTCTATTCCGATATCGATAGCAGACGCGCCTAGTGTAAAAACGCTATTAAAGACCATCTGTCGAGGAAGCATCCAGGTCATAAATAAAAATACGTATGCAGCCACTTCAAAACGTAAGAGTGGCATCGATCGGGAAGTGGCATTAATGATCGCCACGGACGTTGAGCCCATTTATATCGTAGAAAACTAGGATTAGGATTAGGATCCGAAGTACAAAGTACCCAGTCGTTATCAGATTCGAGACATTTATATCAAGGACATGCATTCATCCATGATCCAAAAACTTCAAACAATCTTGAGTAATATTGATGTCTGTTCACTTTAGAATCGGCTCTGAATTTTTTCAAAAAGTGGTTGTAATAATGACGGACAACGCGGCCAGTTAGTTAAAACCATTATCTTTAAGAAAATATATAAATATATAGATATATATAAAATATATATTTTTTATTTTACCTCTTTAAAAAAGGCCAAATCTGTATATATGCCAGGCAATCTGAATTGTTTAATCAAAATAGGTTTAAATAATTTGTTATACTTTTTTATTACGATAGTATCGAACATATTGATAGTTTGGACTATCACTATCGAAAACATCAAGTGTTGCTACTATCGAGGTTTTTACAGCTCTAAGAGAAATCGTCAGCGTGAAAGTGACGATAACGATCAAAAATACCATTCGGCCATAATATAAATACCATTAATTACTATTTCAGTTTCGAGAAATACCATTAAATACTATAAATTTAAAACATTAATTTCAAGTTTTGTCTATTTAAATAAATAAAAAAATTTAATTTAGATTGTTTCAAAACATATTTTTGGTTTTATCTAGCGTTTCCTTCTATTTTGTTTGAATTTGTAGGTTTCCCGGGCATAGAAGCCAGGGTAGAAAAACCAGGGCAGGCTTAACCCACTTACACCTCTCTATTTAAAAAGTTGAGCACCCTTTGTTAAGCCGCGGAAAATAATACTGTTTGTAAAGGCTCCTTGCAGCTCCATCCTCCTCTTTACTTACAAAACAAAAATATCTTTTACCTGTAATGCGAAAAAAATATTATAAAGTTACATAAATTTCGTGGAAATATTAAATACCCCCCTGGGCAACAATGGGATAACGTTCTATTTTATTGAATGAAATCGTATTCCATAATTATACCTGTGCTCAAAAAAGAGTTAAGGGGTATATTAGATTTGTGGTAAAAGTGGATGTGTGTAACGCAGAGAAGGAAACGTTTCCGACCCCATAAAGTATATATATTCTTGATCAGCATCAATAGCCGAGTCTGTCTGTCTGTCTGTCCGTCTGTCCGTCTGTCCGACTGTCCGTCTGTCCGTCCGTCCGTCTTGATGAGCGCCTGGATCTCAGAGACTATAAGAGCTAGAGAAACCAAATTTGGTTTCCAGACTCATGTGATATCACACTGCTACAAGTGTATTTCAAAATTTCGCCCCGCCCCCATCCGCCCCCACAAAAGACGAAAATCTGTGGCAGGCACAGTTTTAAAGATACGATAAAACTAAAAACGCATTATCGTAGAGAATGCTCATATCTACCAGATTAATCTGAATCAGATCGGATCATAATTATAGCCAGAATGAAGAAATTAATTTTCTGTTGGATCCCCCTCCTTCTCCAGCGCTGCTGACGCTATTGATTATCTTTCTCGCTCGCAGATTCTGCCGCGTTCAGTGCGCGAGCAACCCCCAGCGGAGGAGATGTAGAATCTAAATGGTACATGTACAATCTACATGTTACACATTGTATATGTATATGTAGATAACATATTTTTTTTTAATTCTAAAACTCTAAAAATCATATGCTCAAAAATGTATATACTGACTGAGTACGGGTATAAATAGAGTCGAGTCCCCATAAGCGACTCACACGTTCCTTCTCGTTTTATTAAGAGAAGACTTCCCCCCAATTGGTTTGGATCAGCACAAAGATTGGAACAACAGTTCCCAACCATTGAGGAAATAAATCCCCCGAAAATGTGCGCGGAGTGCACGTTCAGGAGCCAAAACCAGATTCAGGATGTACTCAGGCGCAAATTGGCCCTCGATGGGATCCCATTCAGCCTGACTCATTTAAATAGCGGAAAGCTGGAGAGTTTCGGACAATCTCCAAGGGTAAATATGTCGGAACTATTCGGGGATATAAATACAACACATCCAGAAATTGTTTCGCAGATGATAACGAAAGCCATACCTTGATTTTATGTACCTTGAAGGTTTATTTTCACACCATTTTCATTGGTTGAAGCGAATTCAGCGAATCAAACCAAACGTGTCCGGCCGCCAGCACACACACACACACAATGTCTCTGAACGGGCACGGCTGTTTCCGCAGCTATCTCAAGCGCTTTGGCCACGAGACGGAGGATTGGTGTTCAGAGTGTGGCACTGGGATAGTGGAAGACGCTCAGCACGTTCTTTTTGAGTGCCACAGGTTCGGCTACGAGCGGCAGGAGTTGGAAGCCGCAGCAGGGGCTAAAATAAGCGCGGAAACTCTGGTGCCGCTGATGCTGGCTGAGCCAAGAGTTTGGGAAGCGGCCGCGGTGTTCGCCTGTAGCGTGATGAGAACGCTTAGGTCCCTGGAGAGAAGGCGGAAGGAACGGACGGAGTAGGTGTCCTCGCGGCGGCGAAGCAATGCCTTCCGGCAGTACCTCTAGACGCACGACCCCTACCCCCCATCACCCCCTGTCCGTCACCCCTTACTGTTATTGATATTGTTCTAGGTGTAAGCCACGCTAAAGTTAAAGTAAAATATATGAATACAAAAAAAAAAACAATGTAACTGGGTGTGTCGAAATGACTTGCATTATTGTAGAGCCAATGTTTAATTGTAGTGTTCCTTAATAGCGATTGCAATTTCTTTTGCAGGAATTTGATGACGGCCAAATGTTTCCATAGCACTGGTCCGGCCACAGAGCGGGAGTTTTGCTTCGATTTGGTTTTCTAGTTAATGATTGTGTTTTTCCCATTTCAGATGACAAATAAGGAAATGGCACACTGCAGGCTTCCCATGGAACTGGTCCGGCCACGGAATTGCAGTTTGGATCCAGGCCACTCCTTTTTGGCCAATCAATATAGATCCAGCCACCAGGGATCAGTCGAAAGACTGAACCACTAACCATACAGTATATAGATGGGCCAGTTCATTCAACGAAAGGGGCGCAGCTGAGTTTGCAGCGTACAATCCCAGGTCTTCGGCTCTGGGGCCAATCGCGTTCGGCTCTGGGAATGACCACGTTCGGCTCATGACTTGACACGAGCCGACGGACAGCAAGCATGTATGTGTGTACGTGTAACACTCCAAAATATATGATTGTATGCATAGAATAATTTTTTTTGCTTGAGATTTCTCACTTACTCAGCTTGTGTGGGTTCTACAACTTTTGGCCGCTTGAATTGGTTTTTCGTTTTGTTTTGAGGCTGATGTAGGACCTGAGCTGACCTGCCGCAAACAAATCTTTAAATGCAATTATATGGATCGTAAAAACAGGTCTATATAAGGACTACACAATACATTTTTTTACATTTCATATCATATCTCTGCTCATATCTCCTAAACTAAAATTATCTTGAAAATTAGATTCGCTAAAGCTCTGGAAAATGTTCTACTAGATGTGTACATTTATTTTATTCAAAGCGTTCATAAAATATTTTTTAATTTTGCCACCTCTTTTTGGCTGAGTCTCCACTGCACTATGGGGAAAATTCCCATTTTTCGGGTATTTAGTCATTTTCCCAAAGTATTAAAATTGGTGGTTTTTTTTTTTTTGGTAACATATTAAGAAAACTTCAAACTATAAAGTCCAATACCAAAAATGTTATATAACATATCACTGTTAAGTCTAACAGCTGTTAAAGTCAGCTGTTGCTGTAGAAAAGCACTTCAAAATGCCACTATTCAAACGCGAAACATTCTTTTTGTGAAATTTAAACAGGATAGCAATCACATGGGTTTTAACTATGTAATGGTTGTACTAATACTTTGTAGTTGTGCGTGTTCTATTAATATTTTGTAAAAGTAGGAAACGTTCTCAAAGCACATTTCTTGGAAATATTTTTCAAGTTCGTGGAGACATATAAAAAAACCATAAGGGTTGATAAGTGTACGTCCAATTGTATGTCGTAGAGCTAATAATTTTAATTTAAAGGCAGTTTGTCTCAATGCACACTTTTGCGCACTATCTGCGAAAATTAAATTTTTTCAGCGGACTTCGAGTTTTCAAACGCGCAGCTGTTTGATGTATGGCGCAAGGAAAAAGGCAAATGCAATCAAGAAAAGCCGATTCTGGATTTTTTTAAGAGATTTAATAAAAACATTCATGTTTTAAAACATGTGCTATATTTAAAGAGTAAAAGTCAAATTGTGTGCCGAAACTTGAATGCCAAATGGAAAAAATGCATGCGGAACAAAAAATATTTTGAAAAAAGCATTAAAATTGGTTAATGAGCACAACAAAATTATACAAAAGCGACTCAAATAGGAACAATAATCGACAAATTGGTCATCCAAAGTTGGCTTACTTGTTAAAGGGGTAGAGCTAAAAAAACAAGCAGCAGCTCTATCAAAAACTCAAGAGCAATGTCTCTTTGTGGATTCAAGCAGCAAGAATAAAAGCCTTGCCCTTCCAATCGATTTTTAAATAATCTTATTATGTGAAATTGAAGGCCCATATCAAACTTTTAAGGATTTCGAAGATGAATTAAGAAACTAAGAAAATTTCTATTAATATTAACTATTGTTTCTTTAGCTCCTGAATTTCATCAAAATGAAGTTTTTCCAAAAGTAAAACTTTATTTTTATGTATAAAGGAGTATTATAGTCAATAAATATTAATAAAGATATTCCAATTTTTTATAAATAAATAATTTTTTTTTTTTAATTTGTGGGCGGTAACACGCCTACTTTTTCCAATAATGTTTCTTAGGGTGTACATAACATTAATCAAAAAACCGCGTCGAAAAATCTTGCTTAGCTTAAAAGTTATTAATTAATACCCGAAAAATTGGAATTTTCCCCATAGTGCACTGTAAATACACACAATGCAAACAAATAACAACATTAAAACCAAACTCGACCTATTCAGGGCCAGATCAACCCTCAACCGGGCCCTGGGCAACCATCAATCTGGGGCCCTCCTTTATTTTGTATTTTTCTCAGTGGCTATTATATTTTTTATTCATTATTTGGAGTTTTGTTTTTTCAACAAATTTGTCTGTTAGCCCTAGGGGGGCCTCGGCAACTGCTAATCCGGCCCTGGACCTATTCCCGTCGACGCGGGTCGAGGCATTTACGAAGCCGAAAGCAGAAAATGGAAGAAATACCCCGCGCGCATGATGCAATTATTAAGGTGGTCTCGTCGGCTGCCGAATCGCTCGGGTTTCAGGACCTTAACGTTCAGTGCGCGCTCGCTTGTTGTAGTAAAAGGTTGGGTACGGACAAATTTTTTGCGGAAACCTTAACCCTTGTGCACAACAAAAATGGCGTATTGTAGTATTTGCCTCAAGCACGTGCAAAGAACAGTTTAGCATAACAAAAAATGTTAAACAAAATTGTTAATGACTTCCGCTGTTTTATATGCGTATTTTCGAAATGCGGCAGAATTTACGGTGTACGCACAAGCCATGGATAGCAAAATGTGGCTATAGAATGTATTATAGTTTCGCTTACGCCTGTTATTGAAGCAGTCAAGTTTGGCTGTTGAAAAAATCGTTTGGCTTTGCTACCATTATTAGTGTTTCCACAACCGGCCATTGGTATAAATACATATTTATCAGCAACGACATTTGATATCTCAATGCATTTTGAATCACAAAATCTTTATCGGTACCGTGTAATTACCATTTTTTAATGGGAATCCTATAGGAAATAATGATTAAATTACACTCAAAGCAGAGAATCCCTGCATGTACTGATGATAGTCAATAGCCAAATTTTTATTTGCTCGTTTACCAAATTATTGTAATCAACGACAAATAAGCGAACGTGAGAGGATACAATTGTAGCCCAATCTGCAATGCAAATTTAAAGAAATGTATTATTATATTATGGATTATTTTCCTGTATCGGAAGAGACCAAATCTTCCTCATCAGCGATCTTTACTTATTCCAATTAAGGAAAAAGAAGGTCGATCGGACAGGATGTGTGTTATTTAAGTATTATTCTAGCCTTTTCAAGCGATCGAGACTTATCTTTTTCAGTCGTTCATTTGTTTTGCACGAATTTAACATGTGTGTCTCATGAATTCCTGTTTTGTTAGTATTAGTTATTTTTCTAGCCATTTCAGGCGATCGAGACATTTTTCCAGCTCCATTTTCCACCCAACAGCGCTGACGGTGACTACCAGCCTGACGAGCGGTGTCCCTTCATTATACGCAAATTCAGCAAAAATGTTTCTTGTTGGAATGGGTGGGCATGGCATCACTACTGGCACCCTGCTGGTTCATGCTGGTTGATAAACGCCATATATTGATCGGCATTCCGCTTGAGTCCTGTGGGCACACTCTGCTGGGTGTTGGAAATGTCCACAGTGGGGGTGCGGGCGCAGAGGCTATACAGCGTGAGGGAATCGTCGAGTTGCAGCTTGACATCGAAGAGCTTTGCCTTGTCCACATCTGCAGTTCTCTGGCTCTCATTTCGCCTGCCTGCGTCTCTGCGTGCAGTTGGGTCAACCGATCCACCTCCGTTTGGGCAGCTACCAAAAGGCCTTTGTGCCGATCCAGCTCCAGGCGCAGCGCATCCTGTTTGGCTATAAACGGATGAATATTCTGCTGTAGCTGCAAATAGCTTTTGGACAAATATTGTTTCTCTGCGCCCCATTTCTTTTCCATTTGCACAATGCGCAGCTGCAGTCGTGTTTTCTCCTCATACAATGTGGCCACGGTATTTAGTGTCTCGTGCTCCTGCTCAATCAGCAGGTGCATCTCCTTGTCCCGCTCTTCCAGTTGCTTTTTCAGCGTGACAATATTATCTCGACAAAAAAAACGCCATACGAAATTTCTGCACACGAATTTTTGAGGCTGGCTCTAGAGCTGGCTCCAGGCTCTCTTGAAATTTTTTTAGAGAGAGAGAGCGCTCTAGAGCCAGCCGCTCTCTTGTATGCATACAGCATACGAAGGCACACGAAGTTGGTTCTTTGCCGATGCGACAGCCGAGCCGAGTCGTCGCGACGAATGTATGTGTGCACATGCATACGTTTTTTACAGCGCTGTCGAAATATACCCTTCACTTTATAAGTGTAAGTTAATTTTGCAAGACGCGCACCACCCCAATATTAAAAAACTGTTATATTGTATATGTATATCCCTTCAACGATAATTTATTTTAAGATGGTATATTCGATAATGATGATCGGATATACATATATAAAAATACATAATATATTTAATACATGAAATTCCATGAATCACATTGGAATAATTGCCATTAGGGTATTCAGGATGCGACGTATTCAACGCCGGTATATAATTTCGTTTCTCAACTCATAAAAAGGTTTCCGTCTTTCATACGCACTTGCTGTTCTGTGTGTACTTACACATGCAAGCGGATTCTATTTTTAGATTCGTACGCTCTCAAATTTGTGCGAGCGAGATGGCGCGAATTTCGTCGCTGGCCGAAAAATTGTCTTGCATATGGCAATTGAAATGTATGAGCGTTACGCATCTTATACTTATATTGTCTTTGGTGGTGCGATGGGAGAAATTGGTGTAATGGTTGGAGTTGCAGCCTGTCCAGGTTGTACAATGTTTGACAGCGTGCTCGATCGAACATCTCCTCCTCTGCCAGCATGGCCGTCACGTGACGTCAGGGTTCTGCTGCTGTCGCTGCAGCTGCCAAAGGCGATGATGAGGTAGAGGTGAAGTTGGTCAAATGGACTCGATTTAGAGTCAGAGTCTCTCTCACCACACTCTCTCTTGGTCTAGCTCTCTTTCCCTCCCTCGCTAACGATCTCGCTCTCACTCTCACTCTCACACTCACTCTCCCCACGATCGGTGGTGGTGGCTTCTGTGCCGTTCTATGCCGGACAGCAAGCATGCATGTGTTGTGTACGTGTAACACTCCAAAATATATGATTGTATGCATAGAATAATTTTTAGCTGCCGAAACCGACTTTGCTTGAGATTTCAGTTTACGTAAATGTGTGTGTGCCATGTATTCTCACATTCTGTGCTTGTGTGGGTTCTACAATTTTTTGCCGCTCGAATTGGTTTTTCGTTTTGTTTTGAGGGCTGATGTGATGTAGCGACCTCCTGCCGCAATATAACTGAGGAATGTGCAGATTTGGTGTTGGTGGAAAATAAATACAATATATAAAAATACAGGATGTTATCTCTGCTCATATCTCCTAATCTAAAATTATCTTGAAAATTAGATTCGCTAAAGCTCTGGAAAATGTTCTACTAGATGTGTACATTTATTTTATTCAAAGCGTTCATAAAATATTTTTTCGTTTTGTTTTGAAAAGCTGATGTTGCGACGGGCGCCGGGTATTTCTTCCATTTCCTTTTAGGCTAGCTTTTGCCTCTGCTTTCGGCTTCGTCAATGCCTCAACCCGCGTCGAGTCGAGCGACAGAATTGCCAACAAAATATGAAGTCTGATGACGGGAATAGGTCCAGGGCCGGATTATCAGTTGGAGACCCCCTAGGGCTAACAGAAAAATTGGTGAAAAAACAAAACTCCAAATAATGGATAAAAAATATAATAGCCACTGATAAACATAAAAATTAATTAAACAAACATTTAATTTATAAGTTTTTATTTCAAATGAAAAAAGAAGAAACTGGCGTGAAAAAATGGAGGGCCCCAGATTGATGGTTGCCCAGGCCCGGTTGAAGATTGATCCGGCCCTGAATAGGTCGATTTTGGTTTTAAAGTTTAAAATTTAAAGTTGTTATTTATTTTTACTGTTTACTGTTATTTGTTTACATTGGGGACTCAGGCGAAAAGAGGTGGCAAAATTAAAAACAACTACGGCGGTTAGATAATCAAGGGGGTGAGCTTTAACATCTGCCATTGCCATAATATTGGAAACATTTTCTTTTATCGCCTTTCCTTTAAGCTCAAAGTTGGAGCTGATAAATGCGATAAATTTATGTCTCTATTGGAAGTGGCGAAATGTTTTTCTAATAATTTTGTCATATTATCTAATTGATCGATCCACCTCCGTTTGGGCAGCTACCAAGAGGCCTTTGTGCCGATCCAGCTCCAGGCGCAGCGCATCCTGTTTGGCTATAAACGGATGAATATTCTGCTGTAGCTGCAAATAGCTTTTGGACAAATATTGTTTCTCTGCGCCCCATTTCTTTTCCATTTGCACAATGCGCAGCTGCAGTCGTGTTTTCTCCTCATACAATGTGGCCACGGTATTTAGTGTCTCGTGCTCCTGCTCAATCAGCAGGTGCGTCTCCTTGTCCCGCTCTTCCAGTTGCTTTTTCAGCGTGACAATATTATCTCGACAAAAAAAACGCCATACGAAATTTCTGCACACGAATTTTTGAGGCTGGCTCTAGAGCTGGCTCCAGGCTCTCTTGAAATTTTTTTAGAGAGAGAGAGCGCTCTAGAGCCAGCCGCTCTCTTGTATGCATACAGCATACGAAGGCACACGAAGTTGGTTCTTTGCCGATGCGACAGCCGAGCCGAGTCGTCGCGACGAATGTATGTGTGCACATGCATACGTTTTTTACAGCGCTGTCGAAATATACCCTTCACTTTATAAGTGTAAGTTAATTTTGCAAGACGCGCACCACCCCAATATTAAAAAACTGTTATATTGTATATGTATATCCCTTCAACGATAATTTATTTTAAGATGGTATATTCGATAATGATGATCGGATATACATATATAAAAATACATAATATATTTAATACATGAAATTCCATGAATCACATTGGAATAATTGCCATTAGGGTATTCAGGATGCGACGTATTCAACGCCGGTATATAATTTCGTTTCTCAACTCATAAAAAGGTTTCCGTCTTTCATACGCACTTGCTGTTCTGTGTGTACTTACACATGCAAGCGGATTCTATTTTTAGATTCGTACGCTCTCAAATTTGTGCGAGCGAGATGGCGCGAATTTCGTCGCTGGCCGAAAAATTGTCTTGCATATGGCAATTGAAATGTATGAGCGTTACGCATCTTATACTTATATTGTCTTTGGTGGTGCGATGGGAGAAATTGGTGTAATGGTTGGAGTTGCAGCCTGTCCAGGTTGTACAATGTTTGACAGCGTGCTCGATCGAACATCTCCTCCTCTGCCAGCATGGCCGTCACGTGACGTCAGGGTTCTGCTGCTGTCGCTGCAGCTGCCAAAGGCGATGATGAGGTAGAGGTGAAGTTGGTCAAATGGACTCGATTTAGAGTCAGAGTCTCTCTCACCACACTCTCTCTTGGTCTAGCTCTCTTTCCCTCCCTCGCTAACGATCTCGCTCTCACTCTCACTCTCACACTCACTCTCCCCACGATCGGTGGTGGTGGCTTCTGTGCCGTTCTATGCCGGACAGCAAGCATGCATGTGTTGTGTACGTGTAACACTCCAAAATATATGATTGTATGCATAGAATAATTTTTAGCTGCCGAAACCGACTTTGCTTGAGATTTCAGTTTACGTAAATGTGTGTGTGCCATGTATTCTCACATTCTGTGCTTGTGTGGGTTCTACAATTTTTTGCCGCTCGAATTGGTTTTTCGTTTTGTTTTGAGGGCTGATGTGATGTAGCGACCTCCTGCCGCAATATAACTGAGGAATGTGCAGATTTGGTGTTGGTGGAAAATAAATACAATATATAAAAATACAGGATGTTATCTCTGCTCATATCTCCTAATCTAAAATTATCTTGAAAATTAGATTCGCTAAAGCTCTGGAAAATGTTCTACTAGATGTGTACATTTATTTTATTCAAAGCGTTCATAAAATATTTTTTCGTTTTGTTTTGAAAAGCTGATGTTGCGACGGGCGCCGGGTATTTCTTCCATTTCCTTTTAGGCTAGCTTTTGCCTCTGCTTTCGGCTTCGTCAATGCCTCAACCCGCGTCGAGTCGAGCGACAGAATTGCCAACAAAATATGAAGTCTGATGACGGGAATAGGTCCAGGGCCGGATTATCAGTTGCCGAGAGCCCCCCTAGGGCTAACAGAAAAATTGGTGAAAAAACAAAACTCCAAATAATGGATAAAAAATATAATAGCCACTGATAAACATAAAAATTAATTAAACAAACATTTAATTTATAAGTTTTTATTTCAAATGAAAAAAGAAGAAACTGGCGTGAAAAAATGGAGGGCCCCAGATTGATGGTTGCCCAGGGCCCGGTTGAAGATTGATCCGGCCCTGAATAGGTCGATTTTGGTTTTAAAGTTTAAAATTTAAAGTTGTTATTTATTTTTACTGTTTACTGTTATTTGTTTACATTGGGGACTCAGGCGAAAAGAGGTGGCAAAATTAAAAACAACTACGGCGGTTAGATAATCAAGGGGGTGAGCTTTAACATCTGCCATTGCCATAATATTGGAAACATTTTCTTTTATCGCCTTTCCTTTAAGCTCAAAGTTGGAGCTGATAAATGCGATAAATTTATGTCTCTATTGGAAGTGGCGAAATGTTTTTCTAATAATTTTGTCATATTATCTAATTGATCGATCCACCTCCGTTTGGGCAGCTACCAAGAGGCCTTTGTGCCGATCCAGCTCCAGGCGCAGCGCATCCTGTTTGGCTATAAACGGATGAATATTCTGCTGTAGCTGCAAATAGCTTTTGGACAAATATTGTTTCTCTGCGCCCCATTTCTTTTCCATTTGCACAATGCGCAGCTGCAGTCGTGTTTTCTCCTCATACAATGTGGCCACGGTATTTAGTGTCTCGTGCTCCTGCTCAATCAGCAGGTGCATCTCCTTGTCCCGCTCTTCCAGTTGCTTTTTCAGCGTGACAATATTATCTCGACAAAAAAAACGCCATACGAAATTTCTGCACACGAATTTTTGAGGCTGGCTCTAGAGCTGGCTCCAGGCTCTCTTGAAATTTTTTTTAGAGAGAGAGAGCGCTCTAGAGCCAGCCGCTCTCTTGTATGCATACAGCATACGAAGGCACACGAAGTTGGTTCTTTGCCGATGCGACAGCCGAGCCGAGTCGTCGCGACGAATGTATGTGTGCACATGCATACGTTTTTTACAGCGCTGTCGAAATATACCCTTCACTTTATAAGTGTAAGTTAATTTTGCAAGACGCGCACCACCCCAATATTAAAAAACTGTTATATTGTATATGTATATCCCTTCAACGATAATTTATTTTAAGATGGTATATTCGATAATGATGATCGGATATACATATATAAAAATACATAATATATTTAATACATGAAATTCCATGAATCACATTGGAATAATTGCCATTAGGGTATTCAGGATGCGACGTATTCAACGCCGGTATATAATTTCGTTTCTCAACTCATAAAAAGGTTTCCGTCTTTCATACGCACTTGCTGTTCTGTGTGTACTTACACATGCAAGCGGATTCTATTTTTAGATTCGTACGCTCTCAAATTTGTGCGAGGGAGGTGGCGAATTTCGTCGCTGGCCAAAAAATTGTCTTGCATATGGCAATTGAAATGTATGAGCGTTACGCATCTTATACTTATATTGTCTTTGGTGGTGCGATGGGAGAAATTGGTGTAATGGTTGGAGTTGCAGCCTGTCCAGGTTGTACAATGTTTGACAGCGTGCTCGATCGAACATCTCCTCCTCTGCCAGCATGGCCGTCACGTGACGTCAGGGTTCTGCTGCTGTCGCTGCAGCTGCCAAAGGCGATGATGAGGTAGAGGTGAAGTTGGTCAAATGGACTCGATTTAGAGTCAGAGTCTCTCTCACCACACTCTCTCTTGGTCTAGCTCTCTTTCCCTCCCTCGCTAACGATCTCGCTCTCACTCTCACACTCTATCTCCCCACGATCGGTGGTGGTGGCTTCTGTGCCGTTCTATGCCGGACAGCAAGCATGCATGTGTTGTGTACGTGTAACACTCCAAAATATATGATTGTATGCATAGAATAATTTTTAGCTGCCGAAACCGACTTTGCTTGAGATTTCAGTTTACGTAAATGTGTGTGTGCCATGTATTCTCACATTCTGTGCTTGTGTGGGTTCTACAATTTTTTGCCGCTCGAATTGGTTTTTCGTTTTGTTTTGAGGGCTGATGTGATGTAGCGACCTCCTGCCGCAATATAACTGAGGAATGTGCAGATTTGGTGTTGGTGGAAAATAAATACAATATATAAAAATACAGGATGTTATCTCTGCTCATATCTCCTAATCTAAAATTATCTTGAAAATTAGATTCGCTAAAGCTCTGGAAAATGTTCTACTAGATGTGTACATTTATTTTATTCAAAGCGTTCATAAAATATTTTTTCGTTTTGTTTTGAAAAGCTGATGTTGCGACGGGCGCCGGGTATTTCTTCCATTTCCTTTTAGGCTAGCTTTTGCCTCTGCTTTCGGCTTCGTCAATGCCTCAACCCGCGTGAGTCGAGCGACAGAATTGCCAACAAAATATGAAGTCTGATGACGGGAACAGGTCCAGGGCCGGATTATCAGTTGCCGAGAGCCCCCCTAGGGCTAACAGAAAAATTGGTGAAAAAACAAAACTCCAAATAATGGATAAAAAATATAATAGCCACTGATAAACATAAAAATTAATTAAACAAACATTTAATTTATAAGTTTTTATTTCAAATGAAAAAAGAAGAAACTGGCGTGAAAAAATGGAGGGCCCCAGATTGATGGTTGCCCAGGGCCCGGTTGAAGATTGATCCGGCCCTGAATAGGTCGATTTTGGTTTTAAAGTTTAAAATTTAAAGTTGTTATTTTTTTTTACTGTTTACTGTTATTTGTTTACATTGGGGACTCAGGCGAAGAAGGTGGCAAAATTAAAAACCACTACGGCGGTTAGATAATCAAGGGGGTGAGCTTTAACATCTGCCATTGCCATAATATTGGAAACATTTTCTTTTATCGCCTTTCCTTTAAGCTCAAAGTTGGAGCTGATAAATGCGATAAATTTATGTCTCTATTGGAAGTGGCGAAATGTTTTTCTAATAATTTTGTCATATTATCTAATTGATCGATCCACCTCCGTTTGGGAAGCTACCAAGAGGCCTTTGTGCCGATCCAGCTCCAGGCGCAGCGCATCCTGTTTGGCTATAAACGGATGAATATTCTGCTGTAGCTGCAAATAGCTTTTGGACAAATATTGTTTCTCTGCGCCCCATTTCTTTTCCATTTGCACAATGCGCAGCTGCAGTCGTGTTTTCTCCTCATACAATGTGGCCACGGTATTTAGTGTCTCGTGCTCCTGCTCAATCAGCAGGTGCATCTCCTTGTCCCGCTCTTCCAGTTGCTTTTTCAGCGTGACAATATTATCTCGACAAAAAAAACGCCATACGAAATTTCTGCACACGAATTTTTGAGGCTGGCTCTAGAGCTGGCTCCAGGCTCTCTTGAAATTTTTTTTAGAGGAGGAGAGCGCTCTAGAGCCAGCCGCTCTCTTGTATGCAACAGCATACGAAGGCACACGAAGTTGGTTCTTTGCCGATGCGACAGCCGAGCCGAGTCGTCGCGACGAATGTATGTGTGCACATGCATACGTTTTTTACAGCGCTGTCGAAATATACCCTTCACTTTAATAAGTTAATTTTGCAAGACGCGCACCACCCCAATATTAAAAAACTGTTATATTGTATATGTATATCCCTTCAACGATAATTTATTTTAAGATGGTATATTCGATAATGATGATCGGATATACATATATAAAAATACATAATATATTTAATACATGAAATTCCATGAATCACATTGGAATAATTGCCATTAGGGTATTCAGGATGCGACGTATTCAACGCCGGTATATAATTTCGTTTCTCAACTCATAAAAAGGTTTCCGTCTTTCATACGCACTTGCTGTTCTGTGTGTACTTACACATGCAAGCGGATTCTATTTTAGATTCGTACGCTCTCAAATTTGTGCGAGCGAGATGGCGCGAATTTCGTCGCTGGCCGAAAAATTGTCTTGCATATGGCAATTGAAATGTATGAGGGTTACGCATCTTATACTTATATTGTCTTTGGTGGTGCGATGGGAGAAATTGGTGTAATGGTTGGAGTTGCAGCCTGTCCAGGTTGTACAATGTTTGACAGCGTGCTCGATCGAACATCTCCTCCTCTGCCAGCATGGCCGTCACGTGACGTCAGGGTTCTGCTGCTGTCGCTGCAGCTGCCAAAGGCGATGATGAGGTAGAGGTGAAGTTGGTCAAATGGACTCGATTTAGAGTCAGAGTCTCTCTCACCACACTCTCTCTTGGTCTAGCTCTCTTTCCCTCCCTCGCTAACGATCTCGCTCTCACTCTCACACTCTATCTCCCCACGATCGGTGGTGGTGGCTTCTGTGCCGTTCTATGCCGGACAGCAAGCATGCATGTGTTGTGTACGTGTAACACTCCAAAATATATGATTGTATGCATAGAATAATTTTTAGCTGCCGAAACCGACTTTGCTTGAGATTTCAGTTTACGTAAATGTGTGTGTGCCATGTATTCTCACATTCTGTGCTTGTGTGGGTTCTACAATTTTTTGCCGCTCGAATTGGTTTTTCGTTTTGTTTTGAGGGCTGATGTGATGTAGCGACCTCCTGCCGCAATATAACTGAGGAATGTGCAGATTTGGTGTTGGTGGAAAATAAATACAATATATAAAAATACAGGATGTTATCTCTGCTCATATCTCCTAATCTAAAATTATCTTGAAAATTAGATTCGCTAAAGCTCTGGAAAATGTTCTACTAGATGTGTACATTTATTTTATTCAAAGCGTTCATAAAATATTTTTTCGTTTTGTTTTGAAAAGCTGATGTTGCGACGGGCGCCGGGTATTTCTTCCATTTCCTTTTAGGCTAGCTTTTGCCTCTGCTTTCGGCTTCGTCAATGCCTCAACCCGCGTCGAGTCGAGCGACAGAATTGCCAACAAAATATGAAGTCTGATGACGGGAATAGGTCCAGGGCCGGATTATCAGTTGCCGAGAGCCCCCCTAGGGCTAACAGAAAAATTGGTGAAAAAACAAAACTCCAAATAATGGATAAAAAATATAATAGCCACTGATAAACATAAAAATTAATTAAACAAACATTTAATTTATAAGTTTTTATTTCAAATGAAAAAAGAAGAAACTGGCGTGAAAAAATGGAGGGCCCCAGATTGATGGTTGCCCAGGGCCCGGTTGAAGATTGATCCGGCCCTGAATAGGTCGATTTTGGTTTTAAAGTTTAAAATTTAAAGTTGTTATTTTTTTTTACTGTTTACTGTTATTTGTTTACATTGGGGACTCAGGCGAAAAGAGGTGGCAAAATTAAAAACCACTACGGCGGTTAGATAATCAAGGGGGTGAGCTTTAACATCTGCCATTGCCATAATATTGGAAACATTTTCTTTTATCGCCTTTCCTTTAAGCTCAAAGTTGGAGCTGATAAATGCGATAAATTTATGTCTCTATTGGAAGTGGCGAAATGTTTTTCTAATAATTTTGTCATATTATCTAATTGATCGATCCACCTCCGTTTGGGAAGCTACCAAGAGGCCTTTGTGCCGATCCAGCTCCAGGCGCAGCGCATCCTGTTTGGCTATAAACGGATGAATATTCTGCTGTAGCTGCAAATAGCTTTTGGACAAATATTGTTTCTCTGCGCCCCATTTCTTTTCCATTTGCACAATGCGCAGCTGCAGTCGTGTTTTCTCCTCATACAATGTGGCCACGGTATTTAGTGTCTCGTGCTCCTGCTCAATCAGCAGGTGCATCTCCTTGTCCCGCTCTTCCAGTTGCTTTTTCAGCGTGACAATATTATCTCGACAAAAAAAACGCCATACGAAATTTCTGCACACGAATTTTTGAGGCTGGCTCTAGAGCTGGCTCCAGGCTCTCTTGAAATTTTTTTTAGAGAGAGAGCGCTCTAGAGCCAGACGCTCTCTTGTATGCATACAGCATACGAAGGCACACGAAGTTGGTTCTTTGCCGATGCGACAGCCGAGCCGAGTCGTCGCGACGAATGTATGTGTGCACATGCATACGTTTTTTACAGCGCTGTCGAAATATACCCTTCACTTTATAAGTGTAAGTTAATTTTGCAAGACGCGCACCACCCCAATATTAAAAAACTGTTATATTGTATATGTATATCCCTTCAACGATAATTTATTTTAAGATGGTATATTCGATAATGATGATCGGATATACATATATAAAAATACATAATATATTTAATACATGAAATTCCATGAATCACATTGGAATAATTGCCATTAGGGTATTCAGGATGCGACGTATTCAACGCCGGTATATAATTTCGTTTCTCAACTCATAAAAAGGTTTCCGTCTTTCATACGCACTTGCTGTTCTGTGTGTACTTACACATGCAAGCGGATTCTATTTTTAGATTCGTACGCTCTCAAATTTGTGCGAGGGAGATGGCGCGAATTTCGTCGCTGGCCGAAAAATTGTCTTGCATATGGCAATTGAAATGTATGAGCGTTACGCATCTTATACTTATATTGTCTTTGGTGGTGCGATGGGAGAAATTGGTGTAATGGTTGGAGTTGCAGCCTGTCCAGGTTGTACAATGTTTGACAGCGTGCTCGATCGAACATCTCCTCCTCTGCCAGCATGGCCGTCACGTGACGTCAGGGTTCTGCTGCTGTCGCTGCAGCTGCCAAAGGCGATGATGAGGTAGAGGTGAAGTTGGTCAAATGGACTCGATTTAGAGTCAGAGTCTCTCTCACCACACTCTCTCTTGGTCTAGCTCTCTTTCCCTCCCTCGCTAACGATCTCGCTCTCACTCTCACTCTCACACTCACTCTCCCCACGATCGGTGGTGGTGGCTTCTGTGCCGTTCTATGCCGGACAGCAAGCATGCATGTGTTGTGTACGTGTAACACTCCAAAATATATGATTGTATGCATAGAATAATTTTTAGCTGCCGAAACCGACTTTGCTTGAGATTTCAGTTTACGTAAATGTGTGTGTGCCATGTATTCTCACATTCTGTGCTTGTGTGGGTTCTACAATTTTTTGCCGCTCGAATTGGTTTTTCGTTTTGTTTTGAGGGCTGATGTGATGTAGCGACCTCCTGCCGCAATATAACTGAGGAATGTGCAGATTTGGTGTTGGTGGAAAATAAATACAATATATAAAAATACAGGATGTTATCTCTGCTCATATCTCCTAATCTAAAATTATCTTGAAAATTAGATTCGCTAAAGCTCTGGAAAATGTTCTACTAGATGTGTACATTTATTTTATTCAAAGCGTTCATAAAATATTTTTTCGTTTTGTTTTGAAAAGCTGATGTTGCGACGGGCGCCGGGTATTTCTTCCATTTCCTTTTAGGCTAGCTTTTGCCTCTGCTTTCGGCTTCGTCAATGCCTCAACCCGCGTCGAGTCGAGCGACAGAATTGCCAACAAAATATGAAGTCTGATGACGGGAATAGGTCCAGGGCCGGATTATCAGTTGCCGAGAGCCCCCCTAGGGCTAACAGAAAAATTGGTGAAAAAACAAAACTCCAAATAATGGATAAAAAATATAATAGCCACTGATAAACATAAAAATTAATTAAACAAACATTTAATTTATAAGTTTTTATTTCAAATGAAAAAAGAAGAAACTGGCGTGAAAAAATGGAGGGCCCCAGATTGATGGTTCCCAGGGCCCGGTTGAAGATTGATCCGGCCCTGAATAGGTCGATTTTGGTTTTAAAGTTTAAAATTTAAAGTTGTTATTTTTTTTTACTGTTTACTGTTATTTGTTTACATTGGGGACTCAGGCGAAAAGAGGTGGCAAAATTAAAAACCACTACGGCGGTTAGATAATCAAGGGGGTGAGCTTTAACATCTGCCATTGCCATAATATTGGAAACATTTTCTTTTATCGCCTTTCCTTTAAGCTCAAAGTTGGAGCTGATAAATGCGATAAATTTATGTCTCTATTGGAAGTGGCGAAATGTTTTTCTAATAATTTTGTCATATTATCTAATTGATCGATCCACCTCCGTTTGGGAAGCTACCAAGAGGCCTTTGTGCCGATCCAGCTCCAGGCGCAGCGCATCCTGTTTGGCTATAAACGGATGAATATTCTGCTGTAGCTGCAAATAGCTTTTGGACAAATATTGTTTCTCTGCGCCCCATTTCTTTTCCATTTGCACAATGCGCAGCTGCAGTCGTGTTTTCTCCTCATACAATGTGGCCACGGTATTTAGTGTCTCGTGCTCCTGCTCAATCAGCAGGTGCATCTCCTTGTCCCGCTCTTCCAGTTGCTTTTTCAGCGTGACAATATTATCTCGACAAAAAAAACGCCATACGAAATTTCTGCACACGAATTTTTGAGGCTGGCTCTAGAGCTGGCTCCAGGCTCTCTTGAAATTTTTTTAAGAGAGCGCTCTAGAGCCAGCCGCTCTCTTGTATGCATACAGCATACGAAGGCACACGAAGTTGGTTCTTTGCCGATGCGACAGCCGAGCCGAGTCGTCGCGACGAATGTATGTGTGCACATGCATACGTTTTTTACAGCGCTGTCGAAATATACCCTTCACTTTATAAGTGTAAGTTAATTTTGCAAGACGCGCACCACCCCAATATTAAAAAACTGTTATATTGTATATGTATATCCCTTCAACGATAATTTATTTTAAGATGGTATATTCGATAATGATGATCGGATATACATATATAAAAATACATAATATATTTAATACATGAAATTCCATGAATCACATTGGAATAATTGCCATTAGGGTATTCAGGATGCGACGTATTCAACGCCGGTATATAATTTCGTTTCTCAACTCATAAAAAGGTTTCCGTCTTTCATACGCACTTGCTGTTCTGTGTGTACTTACACATGCAAGCGGATTCTATTTTTAGATTCGTACGCTCTCAAATTTGTGCGAGCGAGATGGCGCGAATTTCGTCGCTGGCCGAAAAATTGTCTTGCATATGGCAATTGAAATGTATGAGCGTTACGCATCTTATACTTATATTGTCTTTGGTGGTGCGATGGGAGAAATTGGTGTAATGGTTGGAGTTGCAGCCTGTCCAGGTTGTACAATGTTTGACAGCGTGCTCGATCGAACATCTCCTCCTCTGCCAGCATGGCCGTCACGTGACGTCAGGGTTCTGCTGCTGTCGCTGCAGCTGCCAAAGGCGATGATGAGGTAGAGGTGAAGTTGGTCAAATGGACTCGATTTAGAGTCAGAGTCTCTCTCACCACACTCTCTCTTGGTCTAGCTCTCTTTCCCTCCCTCGCTAACGATCTCGCTCTCACTCTCACTCTCACACTCACTCTCCCCACGATCGGTGGTGGTGGCTTCTGTGCCGTTCTATGCCGGACAGCAAGCATGCATGTGTTGTGTACGTGTAACACTCCAAAATATATGATTGTATGCATAGAATAATTTTTAGCTGCCGAAACCGACTTTGCTTGAGATTTCAGTTTACGTAAATGTGTGTGTGCCATGTATTCTCACATTCTGTGCTTGTGTGGGTTCTACAATTTTTTGCCGCTCGAATTGGTTTTTCGTTTTGTTTTGAGGGCTGATGTGATGTAGCGACCTCCTGCCGCAATATAACTGAGGAATGTGCAGATTTGGTGTTGGTGGAAAATAAATACAATATATAAAAATACAGGATGTTATCTCTGCTCATATCTCCTAATCTAAAATTATCTTGAAAATTAGATTCGCTAAAGCTCTGGAAAATGTTCTACTAGATGTGTACATTTATTTTATTCAAAGCGTTCATAAAATATTTTTTCGTTTTGTTTTGAAAAGCTGATGTTGCGACGGGCGCCGGGTATTTCTTCCATTTCCTTTTAGGCTAGCTTTTGCCTCTGCTTTCGGCTTCGTCAATGCCTCAACCCGCGTCGAGTCGAGCGACAGAATTGCCAACAAAATATGAAGTCTGATGACGGGAATAGGTCCAGGGCCGGATTATCAGTTGCCGAGAGCCCCCCTAGGGCTAACAGAAAAATTGGTGAAAAAACAAAACTCCAAATAATGGATAAAAAATATAATAGCCACTGATAAACATAAAAATTAATTAAACAAACATTTAATTTATAAGTTTTTATTTCAAATGAAAAAAGAAGAAACTGGCGTGAAAAAATGGAGGGCCCCAGATTGATGGTTGCCCAGGGCCCGGTTGAAGATTGATCCGGCCCTGAATAGGTCGATTTTGGTTTTAAAGTTTAAAATTTAAAGTTGTTATTTTTTTTTACTGTTTACTGTTATTTGTTTACATTGGGGACTCAGGCGAAAAGAGGTGGCAAAATTAAAAACCACTACGGCGGTTAGATAATCAAGGGGGTGAGCTTTAACATCTGCCATTGCCATAATATTGGAAACATTTTCTTTTATCGCCTTTCCTTTAAGCTCAAAGTTGGAGCTGATAAATGCGATAAATTTATGTCTCTATTGGAAGTGGCGAAATGTTTTTCTAATAATTTTTTCATATTATCTAATTGATCGATCCACCTCCGTTTGGGCAGCTACCAAGAGGCCTTTGTGCCGATCCAGCTCCAGGCGCAGCGCATCCTGTTTGGCTATAAACGGATGAATATTCTGCTGTAGCTGCAAATAGCTTTTGGACAAATATTGTTTCTCTGCGCCCCATTTCTTTTCCATTTGCACAATGCGCAGCTGCAGTCGTGTTTTCTCCTCATACAATGTGGCCACGGTATTTAGTGTCTCGTGCTCCTGCTCAATCAGCAGGTGCATCTCCTTGTCCCGCTCTTCCAGTTGCTTTTTCAGCGTGACAATATTATCTCGACAAAAAAAACGCCATACGAAATTTCTGCACACGAATTTTTGAGGCTGGCTCTAGAGCTGGCTCCAGGCTCTCTTGAAATTTTTTTAGAGAGAGAGAGCGCTCTAGAGCCAGCCGCTCTCTTGTATGCATACAGCATACGAAGGCACACGAAGTTGGTTCTTTGCCGATGCGACAGCCGAGCCGAGTCGTCGCGACGAATGTATGTGTGCACATGCATACGTTTTTTACAGCGCTGTCGAAATATACCCTTCACTTTATAAGTGTAAGTTAATTTTGCAAGACGCGCACCACCCCAATATTAAAAAACTGTTATATTGTATATGTATATCCCTTCAACGATAATTTATTTTAAGATGGTATATTCGATAATGATGATCGGATATACATATATAAAAATACATAATATATTTAATACATGAAATTCCATGAATCACATTGGAATAATTGCCATTAGGGTATTCAGGATGCGACGTATTCAACGCCGGTATATAATTTCGTTTCTCAACTCATAAAAAGGTTTCCGTCTTTCATACGCACTTGCTGTTCTGTGTGTACTTACACATGCAAGCGGATTCTATTTTTAGATTCGTACGCTCTCAAATTTGTGCGAGCGAGATGGCGCGAATTTCGTCGCTGGCCGAAAAATTGTCTTGCATATGGCAATTGAAATGTATGAGCGTTACGCATCTTATACTTATATTGTCTTTGGTGGTGCGATGGGAGAAATTGGTGTAATGGTTGGAGTTGCAGCCTGTCCAGGTTGTACAATGTTTGACAGCGTGCTCGATCGAACATCTCCTCCTCTGCCAGCATGGCCGTCACGTGACGTCAGGGTTCTGCTGCTGTCGCTGCAGCTGCCAAAGGCGATGATGAGGTAGAGGTGAAGTTGGTCAAATGGACTCGATTTAGAGTCAGAGTCTCTCTCACCACACTCTCTCTTGGTCTAGCTCTCTTTCCCTCCCTCGCTAACGATCTCGCTCTCACTCTCACTCTCACACTCACTCTCCCCACGATCGGTGGTGGTGGCTTCTGTGCCGTTCTATGCCGGACAGCAAGCATGCATGTGTTGTGTACGTGTAACACTCCAAAATATATGATTGTATGCATAGAATAATTTTTAGCTGCCGAAACCGACTTTGCTTGAGATTTCAGTTTACGTAAATGTGTGTGTGCCATGTATTCTCACATTCTGTGCTTGTGTGGGTTCTACAATTTTTTGCCGCTCGAATTGGTTTTTCGTTTTGTTTTGAGGGCTGATGTGATGTAGCGACCTCCTGCCGCAATATAACTGAGGAATGTGCAGATTTGGTGTTGGTGGAAAATAAATACAATATATAAAAATACAGGATGTTATCTCTGCTCATATCTCCTAATCTAAAATTATCTTGAAAATTAGATTCGCTAAAGCTCTGGAAAATGTTCTACTAGATGTGTACATTTATTTTATTCAAAGCGTTCATAAAATATTTTTTCGTTTTGTTTTGAAAAGCTGATGTTGCGACGGGCGCCGGGTATTTCTTCCATTTCCTTTTAGGCTAGCTTTTGCCTCTGCTTTCGGCTTCGTCAATGCCTCAACCCGCGTCGAGTCGAGCGACAGAATTGCCAACAAAATATGAAGTCTGATGACGGGAATAGGTCCAGGGCCGGATTATCAGTTGCCGAGAGCCCCCCTAGGGCTAACAGAAAAATTGGTGAAAAAACAAAACTCCAAATAATGGATAAAAAATATAATAGCCACTGATAAACATAAAAATTAATTAAACAAACATTTAATTTATAAGTTTTTATTTCAAATGAAAAAAGAAGAAACTGGCGTGAAAAAATGGAGGGCCCCAGATTGATGGTTGCCCAGGGCCCGGTTGAAGATTGATCCGGCCCTGAATAGGTCGATTTTGGTTTTAAAGTTTAAAATTTAAAGTTGTTATTTTTTTTTACTGTTTACTGTTATTTGTTTACATTGGGGACTCAGGCGAAAAGAGGTGGCAAAATTAAAAACCACTACGGCGGTTAGATAATCAAGGGGGTGAGCTTTAACATCTGCCATTGCCATAATATTGGAAACATTTTCTTTTATCGCCTTTCCTTTAAGCTCAAAGTTGGAGCTGATAAATGCGATAAATTTATGTCTCTATTGGAAGTGGCGAAATGTTTTTCTAATAATTTTTTCATATTATCTAATTGATCGATCCACCTCCGTTTGGGCAGCTACCAAGAGGCCTTTGTGCCGATCCAGCTCCAGGCGCAGCGCATCCTGTTTGGCTATAAACGGATGAATATTCTGCTGTAGCTGCAAATAGCTTTTGGACAAATATTGTTTCTCTGCGCCCCATTTCTTTTCCATTTGCACAATGCGCAGCTGCAGTCGTGTTTTCTCCTCATACAATGTGGCCACGGTATTTAGTGTCTCGTGCTCCTGCTCAATCAGCAGGTGCATCTCCTTGTCCCGCTCTTCCAGTTGCTTTTTCAGCGTGACAATATTATCTCGACAAAAAAAACGCCATACGAAATTTCTGCACACGAATTTTTGAGGCTGGCTCTAGAGCTGGCTCCAGGCTCTCTTGAAATTTTTTTAGAGAGAGAGAGCGCTCTAGAGCCAGCCGCTCTCTTGTATGCATACAGCATACGAAGGCACACGAAGTTGGTTCTTTGCCGATGCGACAGCCGAGCCGAGTCGTCGCGACGAATGTATGTGTGCACATGCATACGTTTTTTACAGCGCTGTCGAAATATACCCTTCACTTTATAAGTGTAAGTTAATTTTGCAAGACGCGCACCACCCCAATATTAAAAAACTGTTATATTGTATATGTATATCCCTTCAACGATAATTTATTTTAAGATGGTATATTCGATAATGATGATCGGATATACATATATAAAAATACATAATATATTTAATACATGAAATTCCATGAATCACATTGGAATAATTGCCATTAGGGTATTCAGGATGCGACGTATTCAACGCCGGTATATAATTTCGTTTCTCAACTCATAAAAAGGTTTCCGTCTTTCATACGCACTTGCTGTTCTGTGTGTACTTACACATGCAAGCGGATTCTATTTTTAGATTCGTACGCTCTCAAATTTGTGCGAGCGAGATGGCGCGAATTTCGTCGCTGGCCGAAAAATTGTCTTGCATATGGCAATTGAAATGTATGAGCGTTACGCATCTTATACTTATATTGTCTTTGGTGGTGCGATGGGAGAAATTGGTGTAATGGTTGGAGTTGCAGCCTGTCCAGGTTGTACAATGTTTGACAGCGTGCTCGATCGAACATCTCCTCCTCTGCCAGCATGGCCGTCACGTGACGTCAGGGTTCTGCTGCTGTCGCTGCAGCTGCCAAAGGCGATGATGAGGTAGAGGTGAAGTTGGTCAAATGGACTCGATTTAGAGTCAGAGTCTCTCTCACCACACTCTCTCTTGGTCTAGCTCTCTTTCCCTCCCTCGCTAACGATCTCGCTCTCACTCTCACTCTCACACTCACTCTCCCCACGATCGGTGGTGGTGGCTTCTGTGCCGTTCTATGCCGGACAGCAAGCATGCATGTGTTGTGTACGTGTAACACTCCAAAATATATGATTGTATGCATAGAATAATTTTTAGCTGCCGAAACCGACTTTGCTTGAGATTTCAGTTTACGTAAATGTGTGTGTGCCATGTATTCTCACATTCTGTGCTTGTGTGGGTTCTACAATTTTTTGCCGCTCGAATTGGTTTTTCGTTTTGTTTTGAGGGCTGATGTGATGTAGCGACCTCCTGCCGCAATATAACTGAGGAATGTGCAGATTTGGTGTTGGTGGAAAATAAATACAATATATAAAAATACAGGATGTTATCTCTGCTCATATCTCCTAATCTAAAATTATCTTGAAAATTAGATTCGCTAAAGCTCTGGAAAATGTTCTACTAGATGTGTACATTTATTTTATTCAAAGCGTTCATAAAATATTTTTTCGTTTTGTTTTGAAAAGCTGATGTTGCGACGGGCGCCGGGTATTTCTTCCATTTCCTTTTAGGCTAGCTTTTGCCTCTGCTTTCGGCTTCGTCAATGCCTCAACCCGCGTCGAGTCGAGCGACAGAATTGCCAACAAAATATGAAGTCTGATGACGGGAATAGGTCCAGGGCCGGATTATCAGTTGCCGAGAGCCCCCCTAGGGCTAACAGAAAAATTGGTGAAAAAACAAAACTCCAAATAATGGATAAAAAATATAATAGCCACTGATAAACATAAAAATTAATTAAACAAACATTTAATTTATAAGTTTTTATTTCAAATGAAAAAAGAAGAAACTGGCGTGAAAAAATGGAGGGCCCCAGATTGATGGTTGCCCAGGGCCCGGTTGAAGATTGATCCGGCCCTGAATAGGTCGATTTTGGTTTTAAAGTTTAAAATTTAAAGTTGTTATTTTTTTTTACTGTTTACTGTTATTTGTTTACATTGGGGACTCAGGCGAAAAGAGGTGGCAAAATTAAAAACCACTACGGCGGTTAGATAATCAAGGGGGTGAGCTTTAACATCTGCCATTGCCATAATATTGGAAACATTTTCTTTTATCGCCTTTCCTTTAAGCTCAAAGTTGGAGCTGATAAATGCGATAAATTTATGTCTCTATTGGAAGTGGCGAAATGTTTTTCTAATAATTTTTTCATATTATCTAATTGATCGATCCACCTCCGTTTGGGCAGCTACCAAGAGGCCTTTGTGCCGATCCAGCTCCAGGCGCAGCGCATCCTGTTTGGCTATAAACGGATGAATATTCTGCTGTAGCTGCAAATAGCTTTTGGACAAATATTGTTTCTCTGCGCCCCATTTCTTTTCCATTTGCACAATGCGCAGCTGCAGTCGTGTTTTCTCCTCATACAATGTGGCCACGGTATTTAGTGTCTCGTGCTCCTGCTCAATCAGCAGGTGCATCTCCTTGTCCCGCTCTTCCAGTTGCTTTTTCAGCGTGACAATATTATCTCGACAAAAAAAACGCCATACGAAATTTCTGCACACGAATTTTTGAGGCTGGCTCTAGAGCTGGCTCCAGGCTCTCTTGAAATTTTTTTAGAGAGAGAGAGCGCTCTAGAGCCAGCCGCTCTCTTGTATGCATACAGCATACGAAGGCACACGAAGTTGGTTCTTTGCCGATGCGACAGCCGAGCCGAGTCGTCGCGACGAATGTATGTGTGCACATGCATACGTTTTTTACAGCGCTGTCGAAATATACCCTTCACTTTATAAGTGTAAGTTAATTTTGCAAGACGCGCACCACCCCAATATTAAAAAACTGTTATATTGTATATGTATATCCCTTCAACGATAATTTATTTTAAGATGGTATATTCGATAATGATGATCGGATATACATATATAAAAATACATAATATATTTAATACATGAAATTCCATGAATCACATTGGAATAATTGCCATTAGGGTATTCAGGATGCGACGTATTCAACGCCGGTATATAATTTCGTTTCTCAACTCATAAAAAGGTTTCCGTCTTTCATACGCACTTGCTGTTCTGTGTGTACTTACACATGCAAGCGGATTCTATTTTTAGATTCGTACGCTCTCAAATTTGTGCGAGCGAGATGGCGCGAATTTCGTCGCTGGCCGAAAAATTGTCTTGCATATGGCAATTGAAATGTATGAGCGTTACGCATCTTATACTTATATTGTCTTTGGTGGTGCGATGGGAGAAATTGGTGTAATGGTTGGAGTTGCAGCCTGTCCAGGTTGTACAATGTTTGACAGCGTGCTCGATCGAACATCTCCTCCTCTGCCAGCATGGCCGTCACGTGACGTCAGGGTTCTGCTGCTGTCGCTGCAGCTGCCAAAGGCGATGATGAGGTAGAGGTGAAGTTGGTCAAATGGACTCGATTTAGAGTCAGAGTCTCTCTCACCACACTCTCTCTTGGTCTAGCTCTCTTTCCCTCCCTCGCTAACGATCTCGCTCTCACTCTCACTCTCACACTCACTCTCCCCACGATCGGTGGTGGTGGCTTCTGTGCCGTTCTATGCCGGACAGCAAGCATGCATGTGTTGTGTACGTGTAACACTCCAAAATATATGATTGTATGCATAGAATAATTTTTAGCTGCCGAAACCGACTTTGCTTGAGATTTCAGTTTACGTAAATGTGTGTGTGCCATGTATTCTCACATTCTGTGCTTGTGTGGGTTCTACAATTTTTTGCCGCTCGAATTGGTTTTTCGTTTTGTTTTGAGGGCTGATGTGATGTAGCGACCTCCTGCCGCAATATAACTGAGGAATGTGCAGATTTGGTGTTGGTGGAAAATAAATACAATATATAAAAATACAGGATGTTATCTCTGCTCATATCTCCTAATCTAAAATTATCTTGAAAATTAGATTCGCTAAAGCTCTGGAAAATGTTCTACTAGATGTGTACATTTATTTTATTCAAAGCGTTCATAAAATATTTTTTCGTTTTGTTTTGAAAAGCTGATGTTGCGACGGGCGCCGGGTATTTCTTCCATTTCCTTTTAGGCTAGCTTTTGCCTCTGCTTTCGGCTTCGTCAATGCCTCAACCCGCGTCGAGTCGAGCGACAGAATTGCCAACAAAATATGAAGTCTGATGACGGGAATAGGTCCAGGGCCGGATTATCAGTTGCCGAGAGCCCCCCTAGGGCTAACAGAAAAATTGGTGAAAAAACAAAACTCCAAATAATGGATAAAAAATATAATAGCCACTGATAAACATAAAAATTAATTAAACAAACATTTAATTTATAAGTTTTTATTTCAAATGAAAAAAGAAGAAACTGGCGTGAAAAAATGGAGGGCCCCAGATTGATGGTTGCCCAGGGCCCGGTTGAAGATTGATCCGGCCCTGAATAGGTCGATTTTGGTTTTAAAGTTTAAAATTTAAAGTTGTTATTTATTTTTACTGTTTACTGTTATTTGTTTACATTGGGGACTCAGGCGAAAAGAGGTGGCAAAATTAAAAACAACTACGGCGGTTAGATAATCAAGGGGGTGAGCTTTAACATCTGCCATTGCCATAATATTGGAAACATTTTCTTTTATCGCCTTTCCTTTAAGCTCAAAGTTGGAGCTGATAAATGCGATAAATTTATGTCTCTATTGGAAGTGGCGAAATGTTTTTCTAATAATTTTGTCATATTATCTAATTGATCGATCCACCTCCGTTTGGGCAGCTACCAAGAGGCCTTTGTGCCGATCCAGCTCCAGGCGCAGCGCATCCTGTTTGGCTATAAACGGATGAATATTCTGCTGTAGCTGCAAATAGCTTTTGGACAAATATTGTTTCTCTGCGCCCCATTTCTTTTCCATTTGCACAATGCGCAGCTGCAGTCGTGTTTTCTCCTCATACAATGTGGCCACGGTATTTAGTGTCTCGTGCTCCTGCTCAATCAGCAGGTGCATCTCCTTGTCCCGCTCTTCCAGTTGCTTTTTCAGCGTGACAATATTATCTCGACAAAAAAAACCCATTGTCCAGCACCAGTTCCACGTCCACAAAATCGCCCTGGCATAGCGCTTCATAAAACCACAGATAGGAAATTTCATTGCTGAACCGAATTGCAGACATCTAACATTTGTACCGTTTACCGTTTCAAGTAAACTCTGGTATTTTTTTCATGGTATGGATTTCGTATGGGTTTCCACAATCACTACCCTGCAGTACGGGTAAGCGATGTGTAAGCAACCACACATCGATGGCAACGTCATGTAGCTCGATGACATAAGCGATGACCTGCCATACGATGGGCTGTTTACTTTAACACAGGGATGTCCTAGGAGCATAATCGATGACATAGTAAGCGAGAATTAGCCGAAAGTCAGGCCTTAATAAGCGATGAATTTCCCTTAAAAAGTAAGGCCTTAATAAGCGATGAATTTCCCTTGAAAAGTAAGGCCTTAATAAGCGATGAATTTCCCTTAAAAAGTAAGGCCCTAATAAGTGATGTATTTAAGTAAAAAATTTTGATATTTTGATGAAAAAGGCATGGGTAAATTCTGTTTTAAAATATTAAATTTTTTCTTTTATTTATTGTTTTCTTATAAAATTGTATGCATATTCACATTTTTGTGCAGTGTGTTCTTTTTTCCACAGAACCTTTTTAGTTTTTTTGATTTGCTCATGTTCGTAAGGCCGTCGTGGTCATTCCGGGCACTTCAACTGAATCGCCTTTAAAATAAGATATAAGGTTAATTAAAATATATTTCAATATGTTAACAATGCTCTCAGTAGATCAGCAGTGCATTTGCGCCAAAAACAAAACACCCGCTTAGATATGTACCTGTTCGACTCAAGACTCGTTTTTTTTCTGTTTTCGTTGTTGGAAATGAAAAATTTCGTCCAAAACGCGTTTAATTTCGCAATATCACATTTTCTTCATTTTTTACAACGCACAATAGACTATTTTTAATTAAATGAAACACTGCACTTACCCGAAATAATTTTGCCCAAAATAAACAAAACCTGCGTCTCACTTTACACCGCACAATTCTAACAACGTTAGAAAGAAAAGAAAAAAAAGAGTTTGGCCTGACCGACGCGTCGATCGCGACGTCGACGTCATATTCTACTCGTCTGTTGCAGCGGCAGAGAAAAAATTCTGAATGACGCTTAGTTGACATTTGTCATCGCTCACTTCTGGTACTGCAGGGTAACCATACAGTATATAGATGTGCCAGTTCATACAACGAAAGGGGCGCAGCTGAGGTCGTTCGGTTCGTGGGCCTGAGACGTTCGGCATTTTTTCGACACGTTCGAGAGCTTTAGCGAATCTAATTTTCAAGATAATTTTAGTTTAGGAGATATGAGCAGAGATAACATAATTTATTTTAATATATTGTATTTATTTCCCACCCCCACCCACTCTGCCCATTCCTCAATTATGTTGCGGCAGGTCAGCTCCGGTCGCTACATCAGCCCTCGAAACAAAACGAAAAACCAATTCGAGCGGCAAAAAATTGTAGAGCCCACACACAAGCAGTATGTGTGAATACATGACACACACACATTTACGCAACCTGGAAACGAAACTCAAAACGGTTTCGGAAAATAAGAATTCATAAATATTTGGTCGTGCCTGCGTACACACACACACTTGCAATTCTCGGCTTGCTTTCGCATCTCGTCATGAATCGAACATGTCGAAAAAATGCCGAACGTCTCAGGCCCACCTATATGGGATGCCCGGCATCGTCGCTCCGTAATGGCTAAAAATTCAAGAGATGATTCTAAAATACAGAAGCTATACAATATGGAATTTACAAAGGATAATTTTAAGCAAATTTTCGCTGCCCTTGGCCTTAAAGACGGTATAGATAAAGTCTATATAGAAAACATAAGGGCGGTGATAGAAAAAATCGTAGAAAGTTCACACAAACCCTTGAAGCTTGACAGTATCAGCAACGACAAGCTTGAATACTTAGGGGAAAAAGCATGTATAGAGTATAAAAATGTAGTCAAGCATGCACTGCTGCTCCCATGCTTAAAAGAATATATAAGCAAAAACAAATGCAATTTTATTGCAAAAGTTATTGCTACAATCTTATTAGTAATAACTCCGCACTATGACGGAGTAGTTCGTTAATGCACAAATAAAACCAATAAACCATAAATTTTAAATTTTTTATTTTTTTTTATTAGGGCTACAATGTAATATATACGTTTCGCTGAACTCAACTCCAGCTGATTTGGCCATCTTGGTTTTATTATTGGCACAGGTAGTGAGCATTCTCTGCCAGTACCAGGTTTGCTCTTTTGGAAATAAAGCTAATATACTTTTTACAAGTGTTTTCCTATTTGCTGCGCTTAATTTCAGGTTTTTCTTTACATAATAATGGCCAATTGTTGTTAGAATTTGTGATCGTTGACTTTGATAAAGGACGTTTTTGTTTTTTGTTATTTCCAGAATGTTTTCAGTTATTGGATACGATTTTAATATTCCAATCAAATCGTCGACTTTTGTATTAGTCTCAACTTCTTCATTTACAGAAGAAATTTCTGAAAAAGTTTTTAACATACGTCGGTCATTTCTATCGCCCCCATTCGATGACACAGAGACGCCCCCGTGGATGTACTCACTTGCCAGCCAGCAGCACAATCACATTGAAAGGCCTTGTATTCTCGCCAGCGTAGTCGAGACACGCTCTATCCGCTGTAGTTGCCGGCGCAGGACCCGCTGGTGAAGTCCGCCACGCCGCGTGTTGTTACGAATGTTGAAGAAGCGCTTTTCCAATCGAGTGAGACTGCGCTGTACCACACGAAACTGGTCCTTCTACACGTCCACCGACAATGGCTCACGTCGGGCCGCAACCTGTCGAGCAGTGACCACCTGTAGGCGTCGCTGGAGAAGCGGAAGCACATCCACATCATGTGTGTCACATGAATTTCTTTTTTGGTATTATTAGTTATTTTTCTAGCCATTTCAGGCGATCCTGTCGTCTTCTGAAATTATATCGAAGTACTGATTTATTAAAATATTGTCACCAACAGCTGCGGAATCTTCTTCCACACAAAGAACAGCTGGGGAAGAATTATGAAATTTTTTGAATATTTTGCATGCTGAGGAAAGAATTCGATAAGCTCACAGTCTAATGACAGTCATTTTTGGCTGACTTCGGAGGCTTTCGGGGCAGTTGTGGTTTGCCGTTTTAATTCTGTTAGTAAAGCAGCATCGCAAACAAATATATTTTTTTGCAGTAAATTGGCACTTGGTCGTCTTTGCCTACATGCGCACATCTCGAACAAAATATGCAGTTTTTATTTAAAGATTGTCCTGGGATATAGCCAGGAGGGGCCGAACACCCCTTCGGCGGTCGCCACCAAGGCACTCCGTCTATAATAGAGACGCATTCCCCCGCAATACGATTATCGGGATTGGGGAGCACCTATGGGAGTCGAGCTGAGAGGTGGACCTGAAAAACCCAGCTCTGCCAATCGCTTCCGTGCAGCAGCGCTAGTGCTTGGCACATTGTCCATGTCTGTCGCGGACTGACTGACTGCGACCGGTGGCTCTTGTGGGCCTTCGAACATAGGTGTTTGCGACACTGGCCGTTTTGGTCGGTCAGGAAGAGGCTGCCTCTCTGCTGGCGCTCTCGAAGCTATACCATCGCTTGAAATGCCGGAATTTGACTGCGTGAGGCATATGTGTTCATATTCCTCTGAGAGGAGAAGATTTTGCCGATCTCGGTCGACCACAAGGTCTGCGAGCTGCATGGGAGTTGTGTCCCGTGAATTTGCAGCAAGCAAATTTCTTGCTGAAAGCGAGCCAGTCGGGCAGCTGCCAGCGGGACTGGATCGATCGGATCGAATAGGAAGGACTGGTTTTCATCCATAACTTAATGTTATTCTCCCTGTGTACACACACACATACTTGAGGCGTGCACCTACGAACTTTTTTGTATTCTGCGCACACGCACAAACACACACACGAATCTGTAAAAATTTGATGTGAAATTATTTCGATTATTTCGATCTTTAATGGGCGCTTTAATTTCCAAACGCGAGGCAAATCAAAGAAAGTGTGGTCACCTCGGATATACCCGCCTAATCCTCACAAATATACCTGAGTCACTGACTTGATTCACTAATTGATAACCCCGATTCGAGTATTGAGCTACTGACAGAAATACAAAAGGAACTGGCGATTGCGAAAAACGCTTCTGAATATGCTTCTGTTTGTCTGTCTTTTTTTCCTTCTCCTCTTGGTCTGGAGCGAGTCAGCAGTACTTATCTGATGAGATAAAAAAGGACGGCTGCAACAAACTGCGCAGTAGATTTTATCTCGCACCCAAACACTCACACACAAAACACATGTACTCATACTCTGGCTGCTACGGACCTGTTGGCAGACCTGTACGGCGGCCATTATGAGAAAAAACTGAACGAATATTCCCCCCTCCCCTTCCAATGGATTTACACGTAAATCTGCCAACTCGTGGGTCCTTTCGCTGATGTCTTATGTAGAAGCTTGAAATTGGGCCATCGTCCTCGCTGCTGCTGCCACGGATGCAGCTGTTTATGCTGTTATAGCCGGCGGCAGCACTGGCAGCACTAGTTGCACTGGCTGCATCCCCTTATCCGCCCTCATCGTCGCCGTCGTCGTCATCGCCACCATTGCTACCGTCACTGTGGTGCGATGGGAGCAATTGGTGTAATGGTTGGAGTTGCAGCCTGTCCAGGTTGTACAATGTTTGACAGCGTGCTCGATCGAACATCTCCTCCTCTGCCAGCATGGCCGTCACGTGACGTCAGGGTTCTGCTGCTGTCGCTGCAGCTGCCAAAGGCGATGATGAGGTAGAGGTGAAGTTGGTCAAATGGACTCGATTTAGAGTCAGAGTCTCTCTCACCACACTCTCTCTTGGTCTAGCTCTCTTTCCCTCCCTCGCTAACGCTCTCACTCTCACACTCACTCTCCCCACGATCGGTGGTGGTGACTTCTATGCCGTTCTATGCCGGACAGCAAGCATGTATGTCC